GCGGAAGAAGTTCAACGTACGTACGCACATACGATGAACAAGTCGGAGCCGGTAATAAGCACTGCTCGAAACTTTGATTCTTTGGGCACATTCGGTGTTGCTTTTCATTTAGCGCAGGGCATTTAAACGAATTGATCTCAAGGCGCTGGAGTCAATGCATTTAGGGCGATGGCCGAGTCTAGGACGAGACACATTTGTCAACAACACTGCCTTTTAAAATAAATTCAGGGCCCATTGGCCAAAACGTTGCCTGTTATACTGAGTAATTTGTTTGGAGCGGTGTTATTAACGAATGTGTTGGGTTTTTAATGTAATTTGTGCATCGAGCATCACTGCCAGTGCAGCTGCAGCATCACCAAATGCGTGATGGTGTTCTAAAGTCAGGACTCCGGTCTCAGCTGTCCCGATTTTCCCTGGGACCGCTATCTTGAGGGAGGTGTACAGTGTCACTGCTGTCCTGGGACATATGTCCGTCTTCCTGTGACATTCACAATCCCCGGGTTTTGTCGGTTTGCGTAATAGCAGCAGCAGCAGCAATCATCACACGCACCACTCAAGACCATGAATTCATGAATAGTTCTCCCTTCTTCTGGCACGGTATTGTGAGATCACATTCCTCTTCCCCAGGGATCTGTTGTCCTGGTTTGTTGTTGTTGTTGTTGCTGCTGCTGCTCAGAGGTGGCAACCCCCCCACCACCCCTCCACCCCAGCGCGTGAACATCTGCCGTGGCTGATGCCCAGCGCCTCCGCGTGGCGCTCAGCTGTTGCACTGTACCCTACTGTCTTTCCACCATCCTTTCTCCTCGTCGGCCTGGTTTGTGTTTCCGTAATGGATGTTGAGCCACAGTGGTGGAGGGTTGGGTTTGGGGTGGGGAGCGGTGGCGGAGTGGTTAGCGCACCGAGATACGAATCCGGCAGTTTAGCCGAGTTCGATTGCCAGACGCGGGGTGGTGGCGTGGCGGGTCGCGTCTGAACCACTGCCCGGCCCTTGGCGCTTCACTGATCGTACATTCACGAGCGTGGTGAAGTATGGTCAAAGAGCCCCCCCCCCCCATGACAGAAGGCCGGATTGATAATTGGCTGTAATTTTTGCTTTTGCTTTATTCGAACTAAAATCCCTCCTTACGCGAATTTGGAGGAATTGTCAGTTTGATTTGTTCGCACCTCCAATTATATAATCATGGCACCGTTGGCTACGTACGGTGCAAAAGAAGTTCAACGCGCGCGCACACACGCACACACATATCCGGCATCTAAGAATAGACATTTATATTCGTCAATTTGACGTGACGCTACCGGTGCTTACAGAACGCGGTTCGCAAGTTGCTGCTGCTGCCCCATAATTACGCATCGACTGCCGTCTCTCCATAAACGGGCGTCAACGCGAGGCAGAGGGCACCCAGAGCAGCGAGCCCCCTTGAAAGCGAGCGGCTGCAAACGAGCAAGCCACAGTTTCAAAGATCAGCCTCGCAAAGAGCGAAACGGCTCCTGCAGCAGATCGTGCTGCTGGAGCGATGTCACCGTCACGGATAGGTGAGGGAGGGCAGGATAAGTGGGCAGTTTAGCCGGGGACTTGCCCCTAATAGCGAGGCTCTCGTCGACAGCCTCAGCGAGCCGTTCCGAGTGAGCCATTCTCGATGCGTAAGCAATGTTAGCCGGACCCGCCGAAGCGTTCTGGACGAGCATGGCCACCCTGCCACTTGCGAGATGCGACGAGATCGGTCCACTGTGTCACCGAATCTCGAGTAATAGAATTATAGTAATTTACAACCGCGTGTCAATCCACCGCTGTATTGAAGGCCATCTCAGTCACGCGGGGGGTTGGTTTGAACCATACTTCGCCGTGACAGTGCGGGTTGGGGAAGAAGGGGGAGGTCCAGGAGCGGTTAAAATGCCACTCGGCACCGATTGTGAGCCGTGGCCGGAAATGAATTTCAGGTCGCTGGGGCTTTTTATTGTTGTTGCTGTTGAGTGCAGGGTGCCTTGCTGCTAATCGTTGCGCGCCACCCACCCCATCCCACCCGTACTTTATATACATGAACAACAAATATTCACACTGTATGCATAAATATTGCATCTGAAGATGTAAGTTGTAACCGTTACAGTACGTTGCATGAGAAGAACAAGTGGTATGACGAGGATGACACAATCGGTACACGGCCAAATTAGACTTAATATAGAATTGCACCAACGTGCCAGCAATTGCCCTTTTTTTAAATAAAATCCAGATGGGAATTTGAATTAAACATTCGTACCTTACTGTAATAAAATAAACAGAGTCCAGCCGTTCTCAATCCACAAACGGATGACGTCTTCCCTGCGCCGTGTCCGCAGTGGGATTTGTTATTTAATCTATTTTCAGTGTCCCGAACAACCATACTTCACCACGGTGGTCAGCCCAGGTTGGTAAAGGGATGGGGCAGTCGGACCGGTCCTGACATCACATCGCTCGCCGCTGATAAACGCAGCTTTGCTGACCGCTGTTCAACCGCTGCAGCCACACGTGTGTGTGTGTGTGCAGCACTTCGGTAAACATTCGTTTGGTTAGTTTGAGTGTTCAGAAATACACGACAGCCATCCGGGCCGTTTTCCTTTCAGCGTTTTGCATCTTGTACATTAGAAACAATAGAAAATGTCAGTTCTCAAATTCCTTCGCGCGCAGCCTCGGATGTCAGATGGCAGCGGCATCAGGGCTGTGAGTACAGTACCCACGATTAGCGTGGTTGGCTACGTCCGGTGCGAAAGAAGTTCCTCATACATGTCCAGAGACACCAAGGACTTTCTTTAACAACAGCGGCAGCGGCTCCCGCCGAGGGCCCCGTTGGGCCATGACGCCGGGCCCACCCAGGTGGCTTGGGTGCCAAAGCGCCGTCGAGGAGGGGAAGAAGGGCGATCGTTGTAAGGGGCGGCACGACGAAGGGGGGGAAAAACACCCGAAGGGGGCGAGCGATGGTCAACGCGATAGCGAGTCCACGTCCCCCACCACGCAAGCCCAACAGCCTCGTAGCACTCGGCAACACACACGCACACGCGCGCACACACAGGAATGCACGCGCGTGTGTGTGTGCGTGCGTGCGCGTGAGTGGGGCGGGTGTGCAGGAAGCAAGGAGGGCGGCATTGCTCAGTGTGCCATGGGAAGCAGGCAGGACTGGAATGTGCGCAGCCTCCAAAGTGCACGCAGCTGCAGCAGCAGCAGGGGCCGCAGTGGTCAGCGCGCTCGATTTTGCAATCGCGTAGAGGTCATCGGTTTGACTCCATCCTCCAATTGCCTCCAGTTCACCCAGTGGTGTAGAACGGGTTGCAAACCACGGTGAGCGGTTCCGCGTGTGTGGTGAAGTGAAGTGTGGGCTTCTCCCACCTCGTCCAGGGTTCTCTGGCCAGCGTCGAATTGTCGGTCAAAAATATCCTCTCGACTGCTCCGGGGACCCGCCGTCTGGCAGCAGTGGCGTGAGCAAGCGATTGGAGGGCGGCACCTTTACCTCTTTTATTTGTATTCCTCTGAACTATGTTGCTTTTCTCGTCAAATATAATTTCATAACGCGGGGTTGTTCCAACAAGCGAGCGGCATTTCTCAGACGGATCGATAAATCTTTCCTTGGCACAGAGGCGCAGGGCGCTTGCAAGAGGGGTGTAGGAAACGGCGAGCGGGCATGAATCGACAGAGGTCGCCAACTGTTTGTGCGGTGCGTTGTCGGATTTCCAGCGGGCAAAAATCTGAATGCACGTTAAGAGTGCAAAAAGCAATGGGTTATTTAGCGAAGAAATATATAGTTTAAAAAAAAAATCACCCCCAGACAGACACGTGTGGAACCGCAAACGCCACACTCTGAACTTGCACTCGTGGCAACCACGTGATCATAATCACCACCAATTCCAGGAGCATAGGGGGAAAAAAAAACATTCACCTAATTTAAACCAAAACCTTTTCTTGGAGATCACCCATCCATCAAGCCTCGCGCGCGTGTGTGCACAGGCACAGGCACACGCACACGTATGTATAGTTTTGGCACACAAAAGACAAAGACAGAGAAGCCCCATGTAGCCTTAACAGACTGTAGGGGCAAGTGCTGTTAGCGAGCACCTATGAAAGCCGGAACGGTACACGAGGGGGTGGGTGGCCAGCACCACGCCCGACCGCCTTTGTCTCCCCATTGACAATGTTTACACACCGCACCAGGTGACTCATTTGAGGCTGAGTCGACCTAGGAGAGGCCCAGGACCGGTTCAGATAATCGTCACGGCGTTCCACTACCGCTCCCAACTACGCATAGTTTGTCACACGATCACACGCACTCACACTGACACATGCACGCACCTACACTCCGCACGTGCACTACTACGCACAATTGCACACGTGCCTGTGCGCAAACGTGCACAAGGCTGTCAGATGCACACGAAGTGGCGATGATGTCACCACGGCGCTTGTGCCAGGCTAGGTGCACTTTCAGGCCACGTGAAGTGCCGAAGGCTCGCTGCAGGCAGGAGGCCACGGGACAGATCCAGGTGCCATTGGTTGACACTGAAATGACTGGCAGTTCCACCAACTGCTCCCCACTGTGTCAACTTGCTGCGTCGTAGCTGCCCGGCGCTCCGCTCGATTGTTGTGAGCGTCGCTCCTCTACCCTCCATTGTTGTTGGAGGGCGACTGCCTCCAACTTCCCAGTAGCATCCTTCGCGAGCTTCCTGCATAGGGGCCGATCGTGCCACCACTGGTAGCAGTTATAAGTACACTTAAATGCACACGCACAAATGTGTGCAGGCTGTCAGATCCACACGCACACTTGCACGCTCACAGTCGCATACACATGCGCACTAATACACACAGCCACACTGGCACACAACTCAGATTTTTAAATATTCTTTGGGACACCAGGTCAGCCGTTTCAGGAAGTAGAAAGTTTTAGAGCTTCATACATTGTATGACATTAAAAATGTATTGTATCATTTTTATTACATTGCATGACATCGTATTCAACGGCACTGCATTGTTCCCTCGACAGCCGTACAGTCACGCCGCGTCGGCGCCGCTGGCCCCCAGCCCCGGGACCCCCAGCAGCTCCTGCAGCCCGGCGGGCAATGACCTCCTGAGCAAGACCAACCTGTACATCCGGGGACTGCCCCCACACACCTCGGACCAGGACCTGGTCAAGCTGTGCCACCCGTAAGTTCGACCGACCCTCCTTGCCCACACGGGGTCATGCGCGGGTGCACGCAGGTGGCAAGATGTTAACCATCTCGCCGGGTACACAGGAGATCGTGGGTTCGATCCCGACCCTGACGCCTGCTGCTGTGTATTCGGAGTTTGCGTGTCTCTCTCCCCGTGGTCGCGTGGATTTTTCTCCGGTTCCTCCGGTTTTTCCCTCCACAATTAGAATCAACGTAATGCGTTCAGAGTATTTGGCTGCTGCTATATATTTGCATGTGATACGTCACTTTGTTGATCATTTGTGGCCAGGTTGCTTGTGAAAAATAGTTACATAGCTCAGTGGGCCTCACCTGCTAAAAATATTTAATTTTTTCAATAGATTCGTTTACGGGTGCGCGCGCACACGCGGGGCGAAAGACACGGATGTACACACCTTATGGCAAAGAATGTGAATTCGTCGAGATTTACCTCGTTTCAAATTGATTTGAAACGTTGGTATATTTCTATATTTTTGTCCACAATTCGATCCCAATTTGCACCACCGGCACCGCGCCGTCACGGAAGATGAACGATCGTAGAGCCGTGCAACCCCCTCGGCGTGTCAGAGAATGGTCCCGCGGAAGTGGATATCGTAGAGCTACCTCCGAGATCCCTTTCGAGTGACCTCTGGGCCACACACCGTAGAGGACGACACTTTCCCGCTCGCCCCTGCGACACGCTGCTAAAAGCCGATTGTTGGTCCATTCAAAGCTTTCATTCATCCTCGTCGTCGTCGTCATCGTCAGGTTTACGTTGAAAGGAACATCGACGGCGGGTGTTGTGCTCAGCGATGGCGTAGGGCCCGTCCTACACGAGTCTTGGGGTCATATTAAGTTTTCTGGGCGCGTGTGTGTATGTGTACGTCTCCGCGATGTGTAAGCGCTCCTGCCACAGGGATCTTATGTGAAGTGCAATATTTTGCTTTGACTCGGGAGCCTCACACTGCCCGAGTTGTTCAGAGCCGTTCACGCATTCAAAAACATGCCATCTAGGGGGGGCCCTGGGGGCAGGGCACTGTAGCGGGGAGGAGGGGAGGGGGGGGCGGTGGTGGGGGGGGGGAACACGTGTCCGGGCACCCACCGCCCCCCTCCTACCCACCCCCACTCCCTTGGCTACGCTCCTGGCGGTGAAGTATGACACGTCCAAGACCGAGCGCGCCGAGGCTGCGTGCTCTTCCAGGCGTGGCAGCGCAAAGCGACGCCTCCGCGGCGACCGAGGCGGAGGGGTTTCAAGGGGGCAACGGACGTCTGGCGCCGGTTCAAATCGGCACGTCTGCCCCGGCGCGATCGTGAGAAATCGGCGCAGAGTTTCCTTCTTCCGACACAGGCAAGGGAGAATTCGGCCCACGGTCCAATTCGAGCGCGCGATTTGCACGATGGGAAACCCTGTCCAGACTGGAGAGCACCTGCAGGCTGAAAACTGAAAAACGTAGAGATCTGTCGAACCCATGACGGCGGTGCAAGCAAACTGGCGTGGCGCGATGCCTCGCAGCGCGCTGGACTTCCAATCCGGAGGTCGCCGCTTCGAGTCCACCTCCCACCGTGGGCAGTTGAAACAACGGGGAGAGTTCCTTAAATCCCTCCCGCACGCCTGCGTCTACGCAGCGGTGTGCATGGGAACGCACACCGGGGCGTGGCCAGTGTGGACGAGCAGACCAGAAATACCATCTCGAGGGGCTCACCCGAGCTCCCTTTCACGTCTGAGTGTGGAGACCCCTCCGCCGGCGGTGGCGTGAGCAATACATTGCGGGGCTGCTCCTTCGCTGCAATGCGTACGCATCAGGATGCTGTAAGAACTGCAATAACAACAACAATAGCGGTAATCTTACATAACAGAGAGCGGGACATTGACGCCAAAACAGTGGAAAGACGACTCCTTCCCTCTCGGTTAGGCACATCGCATTCCAGTCGGGACGCGTGGCACAACCAGAGCCACTCCTCGACAAACCTTGGGCAACGGCAGTGCCCGCTTTGCCTGGCGAGATGCCACCCTCTCGTCACTCATGCCCGCCGTGGCAGGGCGCGTCTGTAACCGCTGCCAGATCAACGCCCGCCCGTCCGCCCCGCGACACCCATCCCTGCATAATTGCACTAATGCTGGGAACGGCAAGCCCATTTCTGAGAGACATCTGTTTTATTTTTACGTATGTTTGTACAGTTTATATAAATATACCTCGCTGCCAAAAGCCTCATTGCCACGAAGGCGAACGGGTCAATTAGGCGGCTAATCAAATTAGCGGCAAAAATGTTCGCGAGGAAATTGGCTTTAAAAAAAAAAGATCTCACAACAAGCGTCAGGAGAAGCAGCACGTGGAGTGAAACGTCGGACATCGCGTCGAACAGCACGCGGCGGTACGATCCGAAAACACAGGGGAGAGTTGAACAGCGCAGCCACGAACACCTGCACAGCAGGACCGTATTATCAGTGCACCTCACTGCCGGTAGTTTCTTTGTTATTGGCGGTAGCGTTGTTACATGAGAGATATAGTAGCCAACAAAACAAGATGTACATTGATTCAAACGTCAAACCCTACCCTCATGTGCTTCCCGACAGCCAGGCGCCACACACTCTCTCTCTCTCCACTCTTTCTCCGACTCCTCTCGGACGAATCTAAGGAGCCGGGTATCGCGGGCGTGAGATTCCGGACCACGTTGCCTCCAGCGGAGGAGCCGCCGGATGATTTTGCGGGTCCCGTGGCAGCGGAACCCACGAGCGGCGCGCGCGCGCCGTGCATGTTCAAGGTCGCCCGAGTCAAAAAACAAATATTGAATGTGTACCGGCGTGCGGTTAGATCGTAACATTCCTGGAAGGGGCAGAAAGTCACGACACAATTACCGGCATGCACAAAAGGCCGTGTCGGTTTTCTTCGAGAGGGAGAGAGGGAGACGCGGCTCTCGCGCCGAGGTCGCGGGTAAATGGCACGGAGGTCGGGCGACGGCGAGCCATCACTCGCCGGTGGTGGCGAAGAGCCCCCTGCCGATCCGCGGAGACGATAATTGGTTGTGACGATCGTCGTCGTGTTGAAATGGCGTGCGACCATGCGGTTCGCTTCGCAACTGGTCCTCATTCAATAAAAATCTTCACTTACGTTTATATTAATAATTAACATTAGCCGTCATAGCAAAGTCCACTATACATAATCACTCATTATTCATCTTCTTAAGTTCTATTCTGAAGAGCAGGTCCGTCACTCGCAATCCCTTCACCCCCATCGTTCCCCTCTTCACCTCACGACTCCACACTCCGCACCAAACGCTCTCAGAAGCCCAGGTCTAGGACGAGGGTATGGCTCTGAGGTGGCTTCCTCTTGTTTCTCAAAACTGTTGTTTTTCCAGTGACGCCGTCCACCAACGTTATCGCGAACCGCAAGGATTAAAACAAGTTCATAAAAATAGCGCGCGTTGGTTATGTAACGCTTGCTGACATGCCGTTTGCCTCCGGAAGGATTTAATAATCGGCTGTGCGGAATCTGAGACCGAGTTGTCAGGGCAACATGCATTTGCAAATTTGCAAATAGTCCCATTTTGCTTTGCTTTTTTCTCTCCAAGTTTTGGCTAACGCTTTGACAAATGTGGCCAGTTTTCTCTAGGTAAGTGCTTGTTAGCAATGCCGCTTCATACCAAAGTCGTGTTTATATTGGATCATCTTCACGAGAGTCGGTCCCCTTCACCAACCTCATTTACTAAATGGACAGACGAACAGCGTGAAAGTCACGTCCGTGCAATGAACAATGACCATTGCCTGCGTCAATTGCTGAATGTGTTGTGGCTTTCAGGATCAAAAAACAAATCAACCAAATTGGATCGCTCCTTAATGCGGAAGGGCCATTGATCGAAACATCGTTTCTTACACAAAGCCTTCCTCTTTAGGGCAAAGCTATTGATGAACGCCTTGAGTTTTTTTCACCAACACGGGAGCTCACCAGCATGGAAGCTCACCAGCACGGGAGTGGCAGCAGATTTCCGATGGATTCCTGGCACCCGCGCGTTTGACCGTTAAGTTGCCACCTCTGATGTACAAAAAGACCCAGGCCATATCATGGGCAGAAGCCGCTGGTCCTCACAGTAGCGGAAGAGGGGGGAAATCTGCATGTACACGCATTGCCTCGAGTGGTGTGTGTGTGTGTGTGTTTTTCGTTACTATTACTATGCAAATGACAACACCAATAAACTGGACTGTTAACTTCCGGAGTCGTCTTTGAGATTTCCCAGGATTGCCGCTGCCTCTTCAACCAGAGGACGGTCCTGGGAAATCCAGGACAGGTGGCAACCCGAGCTCGATATATCGCAATTGTGTAACCGTTTTCCCCCCACCTTTATTTATAACAGCGTTGTTTGCGAAACAAAATTCATTTGGTGCTTTTCCCGCGTTCTCTGGGGTTATTTCCTCTTAGACGTGGAGATTGCAAAGGGCCTGAGTGGGCTGGGTAAGCTGAATCGAGATTCCTTACATCATCGTCATCTTCATCATCCTCCTCCGCTAAGTCTCGCTAACTTCACGTCATGGCACCCACACCCACTTTTCGCAGTCGACACTCGCGAGTGATCGTATAACAGTGGTAATTATTACAACAATAACATTTGCAATGTTTGTTGTCGAGGCTCTGAGGGTTACCATGTGGACTCCCACGCCTCGCTAGGTTAAGCTCGCACCGATATCCATGACGGACGGCGCTCCCGTGTAACTCAGGCGATCGTTAAAACTGTGCAACGTGGATTGAAAGCTTCCTCAACCTCACCGCAGCGTTCTGAATCGCTATGGGATCGTTACGGGATTCGCTTCGGGACCGTTACGGGATTCGCTCCGGGACCGTTACGGGATCGTGCCGTGTACCTCGCCGTTGCAACGTCCGCGGTAAATTTGACGCCCGTCCAATGTTCAGGCCCATCGCGCTTCATCGCGGCAGCTGTCACGCGTCTGCGACAATAAACTCCAGCGGCCCACCTCGCCAGGAACGTTGAAACGATAACAGTCTGCGTTAACGGCGCGCGTCGTAACCGCCGGGCCAAACCACACAACGAGTGTCCTGTCGTCTCCTCCTCGTTGCAGGTACGGAAAGATCGTGTCCACAAAGGCCATCCTGGACAAGACCACCAACCAATGCAAAGGTACACAGCGGCAACCACGCCACCGACAGAGCATCAACGATTTTGCGCGACGGGCGACGAACGGACCATGTCGTCCGTTGGCCAGGTCGTGATCATTGACCCCCCCCCTCCTCCTCGCGTCTCTTCTGACCCCCGCAGGCTACGGCTTCGTGGATTTTGACAGCCCGACCGCCGCTCAGAAGGCGGTGACTGCTCTCAAGGCAACCGGGATTCAGGCTCAGATGGCGAAGGTAAAGGTCACGGATGTCGCCGGCGTGTTTTATTTTGATTACAGACGTCGGCTGGCCGATGGCGCCGAACTGTGGAGGTTTAGCCGAGACTCGGGGCCTGGAATCATTCTCTCACTCGAGTCAACAAGAGCGGCAACAACATTTGCGTCTTCTCTTGGTTAGTCAATGTTGGTGTCAGGGGCTTGCAATCCCCCCCCCACACTCCAAACATCCCAATGTTGAGAAATGACCCGCAAATTACTTAACTGGGATCACACAGCAGCAGCAGCAACAACAACATCATAGCCCTGCCACTGCAAAATCTTGGCAGGACCCTCCTGCACGTGCGTAGCCAAGCGCGCTAATCGGAGGTGCTGGGGGGAAGGACAACAAAATAAGCTCCTGAAAGAGAGTCTTGAGGCTCAATGAGACTCGGTGAGGCCTTCCTGGGTAAGCAAGCATTGGCCAAACGTTTTCCATGTTCGCTGGGTTTACAGCGATGTCGCATTTTAACTAAGTGTCAAAATTAGAGGGGAGAAATTACTCTAAAGAGCCAAACCCTTAACTGAAGCTTTGCACGCAAGAATAATTAAAGTGTGTGTGTTGCAGCTAACGCTGAGAGGTAGGGACAATTCTCAAACTGTTTATAACGTTTAAGGTGAATTAAATGTCCTGGCACGGCAGCGGTGGGGTGTTCCAGTGGCTCGCACACTGCGAGTTTGCGGGCCGCAGTTCGTTTTCACAGGTCGGAATTATAAAATTGTATTCTCTGAGTAAAATTAATTAACGGAGAAGCGGGTATCCTAACATACACCACATTTTGTTCAAGTAATTTGTTTTTTTGTATTTTACTCACGCGGTGATTCTCTTCGCCGATGTTTTTCCGACGGAGGAGGGGGAGGGGGCGGTAAAGTCAAGTTTCCGCGCAGCTTTTCTCGAATAACACAGCTCTCTGTGACTTTACCATCAGCCTGAAACTCATTGAGTTGGGGAAAATTTATCGTGCGGCTCGTAAAATAAACAGTTGATTAGCCTGTATTCTATTGAAACAAAAACAGATGTTCCCAGACATATTTTCTCAAACAAACAAAAAAAAGAATCACCCGAAGGGGCTGTGAATTATTAACTCAAATGTAACGAGCATGGCGGATGAAGACAACGATCCATCTGGAAACGACACACGAGCCGATTTCTTCACTCATTCTCTCCGCGACGGACGTCCTCTCTCCGGCACGTTCCGTCCATTGTTGAGCCTCGACGGCCGGCCATCGTACATTCCATCAAAATAGTCCAAGCCAGCCCAAATCCCGCTAACCTTCATCAAGAAGTTGGTAGGACGCTTCTAACTTGCGTACGTCCATCACTCCGCGCGATCCCCGTCCCGTCCCTCGGCGCGCTTCCAAACGTGCGCCTCTTTTGAGCGCACGTCGCCGTCGTCCACGAAGCTCCACCGAGAACAATATTCCCGACCGCGCGCGCATTCCTCGCGTGATTGATTACGCAGGCCTCACGTGCCCGCGTGCGCGTGTGTCGGGGCGCGCGTACAGAATTTTTTTGTCTGGACGCACAAGCAGCCGTGTGTCCGCGCGGAGCCGGGCTCGTCACGGCTCGGCGAGAGATCGCTCCACAAATGGCCCTCGCCGACCGCCGGCGCGACGCTCGTCCAAGCCCTCGCTTTGGCACCGAGAGGACGGCCGCGGCGCCTCGCGGTTGTTAACACAAGCCGGGTTCTGTGTACAGCTAGTTTGGTATTATTTACGGTCGAGGGCCCCCCCACCTCCGCTCGCGCTCCCCAGTCGGCCGGGGCCGCCAGTTCCGCCTGAGGAATGCGTTCCCCTTTGTGATGCCAAGACAAGCGGAGAAAAGGCAGGCGCTCGGCACGCACGCCGTGGCCGCAATTAGGGGCTGAAGCCTCCCCAAATATTTGTCTTATTTCGGAGTCTGCGAGCCAGGGGGCCGCGACCGACACCGGTGCACGCCACCCGCCTCTTTCCCGCCGACGAATGATGGGGGGGGGGGGTGGTATGCGGAGGTCAGATTAGCCCCGCGTGGTCCTCGCTCCCGAATGCGGTGGAGTTCGACTCCCCGATTCAAACGGACGGACCGGCGGGCGCCCGTCTCTCTCCGTCCTCGACATATTGAACGCAGGGAGAGATCGCGAGGCTCGCGCGACGCAGGTTACACTTCCACAGAGAGCCAAAGAGAGGGCAATGCTAATTACAGGATATGTCGAAATATCCAGCAGTGGATAGATCAAGGCTGATGACAATGATGGTGATAACGAAGATCATCATCAGCCAGGTCACTTGAAGGGATCTCAAGAGGTATAGCTCTGTGATATCCACTTCATTGCTCGAAGAGGCTGATAGCACAATCAGGATTAAACTGATGGTGGCCATCTTCTTGGTTCTTTCGGTAAAGTCACGTAGAAGGGAAATAATAAAATAATAAAAATAAAACATAATAAAATAATTCTCACGACGCTTCGGCCACAACGCAAGCAGTCGTCGTGAGAATTATTTTATTATGTTTTATTTGTATTATTTTATTATTTCCCTTCTACGTGACTTTACCGAAAGAACTAAGAAGATGAATCCCTGCAGTCACGAAAGCTTTAAATCGAAATTTGATGGTGGCCATTTAAGGCCTTCTCAGTGTGTGCGTAGCGAGAAGAGACATGTCGCATTGTCATATGTTGCTTGGGCAAGTGCCGTTGGCGAGCACATCTTAAGGCCAGCACGGCACTTAAGAAGGTGGTGTGGCTAACACCATGTCTGGCCAACTCTGTCTCCCCAGTGCTGACGCCTACACATCGCACCACGTACTCATTAAGGACGAGCCAACGTAGGGCAGGTCAGGGGGACCGGCTCAGACATTCGCCACCGTTAGCCGTGAGTGGGAATCGAACTCGGGTGCGCTCACCACTGTGCCGCGTGCAGAGAACAAACTTCCGAGGAGACAATAAATCATTCCGCTGCGCGCAATCGAGCACGCGGGGCTTGGGAGCGCCGGGATGATGAGAGGGCCAGGTCACCTGCTCTCCGCACCGCCGCTCCCAACTCCGCCGCTCTCTACGCCGCCCTAATTGGCCAACGAAGGTCCACAGCGCCAGCCGTCCGGGGGAGCGGGGGGGGGGGGGGGCGGGGGGGGGGGGTGGTGCCCGGACACCGGCGAATACCACGGAAGCGCCGGATTCTCAGCGTCCGCCCGCCGGAATGTTGAATGGGGCCTAGGAGCAGCATTGTGTTCCCGGGTTCCATTGTGCGTGGACGTCCCCGTGCTCCTGGGTCCTGCGAGGGCCATTGTTCCTGTCCCCCGCGCCGGGCCTTAATCAGCGCAGTCGGGGGGGACGCACGCACGGGAGTCGTCTGGCCTGTGCGTGCGTGTGCCGTGTTCCGCGTTGCGGCGAGGCTAAAATAATGCACTTTTTTAATTAAGGAGGGTCCTGCATTTGGACGTTTGGTCAACGCCAATTACACATCGTATGCTTTTAGCTTGGGGAGGAAGCCAGGGAACCCAGGGGAAACTCATGCAGAACAGGAGGAGAGAACATGCAAACTCCACGCGGAGAGGTGCCAGAGTCGGCAATCGAGCCGGCCAGGCCGTTCTTGCCGTGAGCCACTGGCGCTGCTGCTGCTGTGCCGCCACCACCCTGTCGCTACGATGATGTTCGCGGTCATGCGGTTCGGCGCTCACGATTCGCTTGAGTTGAATGTGCGGCACAATCTGGAATCACGAAAACGAGCGCGCAATTGACACAAACCCGCCCGAACAGAGTGTTGTGTTCACTTTGCTTGAGCGCCTCTGCCAATGCAGCAGCAGCAGCAGGGACCACACAATTTTCGATTTTAACAGTTCAGGATGCAACGACGCATTGATTCGTTTATTTAATATTAATTATGAAAACTCGATTCATACGTAGAATCGATGGCGCTTCGATTGGTGCACGCATCGCGGAATGGATTTCACCTCACCCTCGCAGCCACCAGAGGTGCTATCATTCACCGCAATGAATTTACCACTAGTCAAATAAATGTGTTCATTTTACATACGTAAACACATGTTTGACGACTTCATAAGCATGTCGAGCAATATGTAATACAGTACACGTTTTGGCCCTTCCGTCTTATGAACATGAGGCCTCACGTAACCTTAATCTGGCCCCAGTTAGGGCGGAGTTGGAAAAATGCATGGGATATTGAATTTTGTGCAAACAAAGTCTATTTCGTCACAAAAGAAATACGAGGGTGCAGATGTTTTGAGAGGGAAACAAATATTTAGGAATAGCGGTTCATAGGGGCGGACGCCCAACATTCGTCCCAAGAGGAAAAACAAACATTCTGTGATGGGGGGCGGGGGGGGGGCATCTTCTCTGGGCCCGGATGTTAACACACACGGAGCGAGAGCGCCAACCGCTGGCAAAACTCTCCAATCAAAGACAAAGGTCTCCCGTGTAGCCTTAACAGACTGTTGGGGCAAGTGCTGTTCACGAGTAGCACCTGTGAAGGGCTGCACCGTGGCACACGAGGGGATTGTGCCTTGCCAGTGCCACGCCCGGACGCCTTTGTCTCCCGAGTGACGATGTTTACACGTTGAGGCCGAGTCGAACTCGGGGAGGCCCAGGGGCGAGTCAGATAATCGTCACCGTTGTTGTTGGCCGTGAGCGGTAATCGAACTCGGGTCACCGGGTTAGTCGCGCGACGCGCTAACCACTGCGCTGCGACTCTCCGAATCAAACACACAACGCTGTTGTCTGGGGGGTGGGGGGGGGGGGGGTCGGAGGGGGGAGGGCACATGCAGAGCGCGACGAAGCGAGTAGCGTACGGGACGGGTCGTCTCGAAAACTGAATCGGTCACGAGCCCTGATAATGCACGCCGCCTCGTCATTGGGGCCCCGCGACCCTTTTGAGAATTTCTGGCTGAACGTTCCCCAACAACAAGTGGAGTCCTCTTTAATCATTCTACTTTTTTGTTGCTTTTTGGGGGGCGAGGGCAGGAATTCCATAGCCACCTACTCCGGCACTGGGAATCGCGTGAAAGATGAGCATTATTGGAGCACGTGTGGAGGAGGTTTTGGTTTTTTTTCTTTCTCTTCCGCCCCCGCCTTTTCTGAAAGCCGCCGCTGTTTTTTTCTAACTCCGTGTAGAATAACTGGCAGAAAGAATCTCTCTGGCGAGGAGCGGAACGTTCGGGAACATTTGAACGGCCTCCAAGTGCGCGCGCGTCCCTCGCTGGTCTCACTCGTGGGCTCAGCGTCCTCCGAATGAACCCCGGCGGGGATTTATTTCCTGCCGATAAAAACGTATTCGACACAGCCGAACTTTTTAAACAAACGTGATAGATAAATAAATAAAACCTTGCGCTTTATGGCAAGGCTCACGTCCTAACCCGAAATTCCTTTCATAGGATTAACGTCTTCCAAGAATAAGGATGTAAAAATGAATGGATAAACAAGCTTTCAAGTTTTATACAAATAAAAAAAAGCCGTTGGCTTTTTCCATTTAACGAACGTTGGGATTTTTTTGAGGGCCGATGAATTACCGCAGAAAAATGGTCCTTCAGTTTTCCCCGAGTTTTACGTAAAAAAAAAAGTCCGGTCCCCTCGGGGCCGTCACTGTACTCCGCTCTCTCCCCGCGGCTGCTTGGGAAATCTCGGCGGCGCTGTTTACCAGTGCCGCCCAGCACGCTGGAATTTAAGAACTCATTTGCATGTCATCGCCGATTCAGCGCACGGTCTCCGAGTTCGGCTTTAACGTCCCAGCTTCCTGCTGCTACGCACCCAGCCTGCCACGCACACACACCAGTGGCGGCGGCATCCGGCCTCCGCTTACACACACGCAACGCATGCTGCACACGCACACACGCGACACCCGCTACACACGCACACACGCTACACAAGCTAAACCCGCACACATGAAGCCCTACCCACACCACACTCTACACACTACACGCAAGCCGCTGGATCTGTAGAGAAAGCAGCCGCGATGCGAGGAAGGAATCCATTGATAGAGCAGCAGAGGTCCTCTCCCGATGACACTTCAAGAAAAAAATAACTTCGGAAGCCACAGCAAGCATCATCATGATGTTAATTATTGATATCATTGGCAATGTACAGGTCACCCTGCGTCTGAAATCTACCCAACAACCAGTGGGAACTGGTCTTGCTGCGACATTTTTCACGATGCAATATTTTCAACATCTCACGTGGGGTAGTTGCTTTCGCTCCGATTTCTATTTGCCTTATTGCTGTACTTTATTTTATTTGTTTAGCTTTTGTCATTTTGGTGACCCAAGTCACGCTTGCAAACGGGGCTTCACATCCTGGTCCCTTGCGATCTCACCTGGTTAAACTAAATCAACTTAAAACTTGATACCGTATCAAATTTGACGATGTGACGACTATTGCGATATAAAGTTCTCCTTAAGCCTTGTGACCGTACTTCGTCTTTCTGTCGTTGGGACGCACTTCAAGTACGGACAGAGGGCACTTCAGTGCGCTTTGGCCTTACCGCACTCATCATCAGCCTGCCACGACCGGGAGTCGTTCGCTAGGTCCCCCACCGCTGCCGCTCCCCCCCCCCCCCCACCCCGTGACCGGGCAATTGGTGCCGTGTACCCACAAGGCCTCACTGTTTGAGTCGAACGGCAGAATCCGGCCGCACGGACGGAGCGCGACACGCAGAGCCGGGTAGCGTGCGCGACTCCGCGCGCTTCACAGGGGCGGCATTGTTTGCCGAAAAATTGTCAATCGCTTACGCACGGGGCAGCCTCGGGGAAATTCATTGCAAATGCACACGCCCAACCCTCTCCCCCCACTTCCCCCCCCATCCCCTCCCATCCCCTCCCCTCCTGTTTTTGCATTGTTGATGAAACCAGCCAGCGGTTGACATTACATAATGATTCACATTTTATAATTTACCATCGCATCCTTTTTCCCGTACGAGTGAATTTTTTTCTTCTTTTCAAAACGTGTATACTGTATTCACAGCTGTGTTCAGACATGGACAGTGAGTCGATATAATAATAATAAATACACTTCATCCTCTTTTCAATCTGCTGCTGGATGAATGTCTCCCGATGGCGTGCAAGTCGTGGGGGTATTTTTGACCATCCTTCACCGTACCATTCAGCGCGGGTTGCTAACTGGGGTTCTGTGTGCCAGGACCGATTGGTGTCCCGCTCGCCACCGACGTTGACCGGTTGGCCGCAAAGCGAACGCGGGCCGGGCCCGAATGGCAAATTGCCCCTCTCACGTTTCCCTGTCCTCTCACTTCCCCGCCGCCGCCGCCGTCCGCGCCACCTCAGCAACAGGAGCAGGACCCCACGAACCTCTACATCTCCAACCTGCCCATGAGCGTGGACGAGAAGGAGCTGGAGAACCTGCTGAAGCCCTTCGGGCACGTCATCTCCACGCGCATCCTGCGCGACGCCGCCGGCACCAGTCGCGGCGTCGGCTTTGCACGGTCAGCCATCGCACCGCACCTCAACCCCCCCCCCCTTACACCAGTCAGAGTCCCCCCCCCACCACCCCCACACTTAGTTAAAGCACCCCCTGTGACCGACCCAGCGTTTGGGAGGCCTTCATCCATCCAGCAGTGGATTGACAAGGGAGCTGGACGCAGCCGCTAACGTGGCAGCACCTGAGGAGCGAAGTCCCAGCGTAGCGGCCTCGTGGCGGCGACTCCAACGGACTCGACGAGGCCTTCCCAGACGAATGACTGAACGATGAATGACTAAATAATGAATGACTAAATCGGCGACCTTCGCTTCCTTCGCCCTTGCACCAGCGCTCCATCGTCGTGTGTGGTCAGAGTGACCTCCGTCTGGATCCTGGCACACTCTTGCCGGGGTCTCTAGGGTTACGTCTCCTTGATCCATCGTCCCCCCGCCCCCAACCATTCCCACTGCCCCGCTCACCAGCAGGGGCAAAAGGTAGAGGCGCAGCCCTGCAATTGCTGTGCTCACGCCACTGCTGGCGGACGGGCCTCCACTCGGGAGCCGCACTGGCCAGACGTCTTCAGAGAGATGGGAATACCCAGGGCCGTCCATGTGGGGGCAAACTCCACCGTGTGGGCTGCGTCTGACACCACAAGGCCCACCACAGCGCGAGGACGTGAGCCCGGAGGTCAAACTCCGGGCGTTGGGGTCGAGCGCCCTGGAGACTAAGACTGAGCGCCCCCCCCCCCCCCAACCTTTTCCGTGTGGCTCTTGGCGTTTTCAGGATGGAGTCCACGGAGAAATGCGAGGCGGTCATCCAGAGATTCAACGGCAAGTTCCTGACCACGCCGCACGGCGTCCCATGTGAGTTCAACGAACCCCAGCACCCTCTCCGACTCCGCACGCCAACATCAGCGACGGTGCATTCACATACTGTTAAGCAAAGGGCTTAACAGTCCGGCCGGGTGTGGTGATGGGCCGGGTGGGGGGGCGGGGGTAGGGGGGGGCTCCAGGCATCGCCCGCCGCTGGTGGTGTCTGTGGCCGGGTAGCCAACTCGGGGTTCGCGGCACGGTGAGCTGTGAGCCACCGCACAACCCATGGACGTCGTCCATGTGAACACCAAGGCCTGGCAAATCAGAAAGTCTCATGTGCGAGATCAAGTGTAAGGATGTGCATAACGGTAGAACTATCGTTATCGTTGTGATAGAATCCTGACGGTGTCAATTTGAACCGCGCGGTAGGATGCTATTATGACGTGATTGGTTTGCGTCGATAGAGACGCCCCTCCCGTTCCGCGAGCGAGTCTCTTAACACGCGATAAGCAACTCGAATCTCATCTCAAACGCACGCCAGAGGGCACCCCCGGTGGCAGCTGTCCCTGTGCGGCACAAGGTGACTCGGCGCATGGCCTGCAAACGGGCATCATCGGTTTGCCAGTAGGGGGGGCGACGATTGCCGCCACTGCCGCTGCTGCTGCTGCGTATAATCCCATTTGAGTCATTTTCTGGCACGCAACGCCATAGATAAACCGCTTTAAGCTCGAGTGATCTTCAGCAGCAGAGAAGGGGAGATTTGGAAACAATCACAGCACAGATGCCGGTGAACACCTGCAACTCTCAATCTTGATACGACGTTGCAGTGCCAGTGCTATGACGGACATGTGGGGTGGGGTGGGGGGTGGTAGGGAGATCACCCTCAAAGGATAAAAATCTTCCTCGCCACCGAGCGCCAGCGTGTAGCTTTGTGCCGACGTGCCGTTTCATTAACGACGATCGTTCCGTTCCTTGACGACGAGGCATGGCGCCGTCGTGCGACGGTCAGCACCCTGGAAAATCTCCCGGCGTGGCAGCTGAAACAGCGGGACAGCTTTCTTCATTCCCCACCCGCCGCCCGTGCCCGCCCAGCGGTGCCAACGGGTAACGCCGCAGTTCGCCGATCGGCAGGCCACGTGTGGTGGGGGATAAAGTGTAGACGCTCGCCGCTCCCGACACGTCTGGTCATTGTGGAAGAGTGGGCCGAATACCGCGCGAGAGGGGGGGCTCTCTTGAGCTCCCTCTAGTCGAGGCCCTTCCACCAACAGTGGCATGAGCAAGCAATTGCAGGGTCTGCGCCTTTTCCATTTTTTACTTAACCATTTTGGACAACCAAACGGGACCGGCTCTTGGCGAGGTTCACACCGAACGAGAGTTTATTTGTCGATTGTAGTTTTTGCGATGTGTTGTTCTTTATTTGCAGATTGTATTTTTCGCGATGCGGTGTTATTTCAACTAGTGGCGAGAAGCCTGTTGTTTGGCCTTGGCGCTACACAATTTGAAAACCCAAAGAACTCAAAGGAATTCCGAATTTGAGCCGGCATGGAGTCTGGGGGGGAGGGGGGGCTTTGATCTGGCGCTCGTGTTTATCGCCGCCGCCACCGTCCGTGAGCCGTCGCGGCGCAAGATAGCGCGCGGCGCAGACATAACACCGGCGGGGACGCGCCACTCGCTCGCACACGGCCGGGGACGGCGGTAGCTGGGGTGAGGGGGGGGGGGCATCGCCCCAATCAGTTCCACTCCTGTTGACGCCAAGAGCCTCTGACGCAAAACAAGCGCTTGCCAGCACCCGCCGGCGGCAAAGCGGGCGTGACGACCCCCCCCCCCACCACCGCCCCGTCGAGTTGAACCCGTAGCGGCCGGCGTCGCTTGAACGCGGCGGGGCGATGGCGGCGGCGAGGGCGATGCGTCGTGCGGGCCGGACGGGTCGCGGCATAGCATAGTTTTGATGCCGGTTGACGTGTAAGTTGGCAGCGGCGGCGGTGGTGTTGTCGTCGTCGTCGGTGACGGTGGAGTTACCGAAGCGCGGCGCGCTCCCCGGCTCGACCGCCTGCGTCGCTGCTACTGGCGCCGGTGCGAATGTGTGCCGTGTACAGCTCAGCGTTGGGGAGATAAAGGCGGCCGGGTGCGGTGCGGGCCATCTCCACCCGCTCGTCTGATGTGCTGTCCTACACCAGCACTTACCCTAACAGTCTGTTGGGGTAAGTGCTACGCCCTGAGAATGATTCTATTTAAGGGCGCTTTGTGAATTTTTATTATTCATTTTTATCCAAGGCTCTTTGGGAACAGATATCTGCAGTTGAATTTACGCTGCTGTGGATGATCATGATGCTGATTTATTGGCGACGATGATGATTGGGTGGTGGTGTTGTTTGAACAGTTTATATTAGAATTGCCCTGTGAGCTGGGAAGCTCTTGAATCGGGTTTCATCAACAAAACCAAAAAACTGGTGGTGGCATGACAGCGATGATGATGATGGAGTGATGATGTTAATGATGATGGCAGCGGTTGGATAACGATAATGATGACAGTGGTGATTGTGCTGCTGCTGTTGACAGTGGCAGCTCACCGAGTACTCCGCTAGGAGGCATCGACTTGAACTCGGGCTTTAGCTTGGAATGTACCAGCAGCTGTAACCACCACCACTGCTCTTTGTGGAGGCCTGATTCCATCATAAAAGCCCCAGCCACCAATCTTTATACTTCACACAAAGGCACAGTTCCCCCCGTAAATTATAGACATTGTTGCAGCAATTGTGCTTGTTTGCAAGCACCTATTAAAGCCGGCACGGCACTCAAGGGTGTGGGGCGGGCAGCAGAGGTTTGCGTAGTGCACTACGAATCTGCCGACCTATAATTCCATTCCAGGTCACAGCTGACATTGGTGGTGAGTGATATCTGAACTGGTTCTGAACTCGCACCTACACCACCACCACTTCAGCAACCCGCATTGACGATCCTGACAAAGTATGGTCAATCAATTCCCCACGTGGCCGACCCGGCATGGATGGGCAAGTCCTCCGTACACAAAGGGAATCAATTATTATTTTTATTATTCACGTCAAGTACAACGAGAAACAGGAAGTCTCTCTTTTACTCGGTGGAAAATAAAACAAAACAACGAAAAAAACCCCCCCGAGGAATGTCGGTCGGCCGAAATGTGAAGACTTCACGATTTCCCCCATCCCGTTAAGGGAGTGGTTTCGACCTCCCACAGAAGCAGTGGTCCACACTCACCCACGCCCCACTGACACCCAAGCCAAAACAAGGACCACAGCATCCCACACTGTCCACTTCGACCCTTTAAGGCTATAGGTCTCAATGCAATTATATTCGCCCCTGTGTGATACTTTGAGTCTCTGTGCGAGTCTATGGGTGTCTACGCTTAGTCTATGGGTCACTACGTTTCTCTGTGGGTCCCTCTGTGAGTCTGGGGCTCGGTATGAATCTATGGTTCCCTTTGTGTTTCTGTGAGCCTCTTTGTCAGTCTATGGGTCCCTATGTGGGTCTATGGGTTTCTGTGTTAGTCCATGGGTCCCGATGTGAGTCTTGGGTTTTCTCTGCGGGTGTATGGGTCCGACACTGCCCCGCTTTGACCATTCACGGGCAAAATCGCTCGGGCATCATCTCCCGTATGTCCACAACGTCACCGGACCGCGGTGGCTTAGCAATGTCGCCAACGTCGTGCAGCCATCGCTGGTCGCCGCACGCTACACGAAAGCAGAAGGGCGCCAGCGTACGCAGCGCAAGCCAGCAGTGGAGTCGTCTCCGCTCCGGTAATTGTGACCCCAATTACGGTAATTAGTCTATCACGGTGAAATACGCGGCTCGTAATAGACTCTCGCTGGGAAAATTAGCTTCACAAAATAGGCACACACGCACAAATACAATCACCTTAATTGCAAGGGACAACTCATTATCACATTACTGCACAAATTGCAGAGGATTTCTCTCTCTCTCTCCATTTTAAGCGGGCAATCAACAATGCGGAGGGGATCCGTGTAATTTGCACGGCCATCAGAACAACTTGAACCAATAACCACGGAAATCCATTTAGGTCGTTTACATCCTCATTAAAGAGAATAATCACGTGAAGAGCAAGAGGGCCCGCCAGAGTGGCGGTGAGCTTTGACCGGCCGTGGCTCGAGTGACACATTCGATGCTAATCGGAGCGTCGCACCGACGGCTCTCACTTAGCGGCGGCGATTCGTCACGAATTCCGTGACGGTTACATTCAAGAATTGATTCTTCATTTGCTCGAAATGCAAGTCGTCTTGGTCGCGACTCTGTCGGGGGGTCGGGCGGGGTGGGGGGTCTACCCTGTCCACGGCCCGTTGGGAATGTGCCACGCGCCTGGGTCACGGGACGTTCGTTTGAGAATTGTCTTCCGCGTGGATCGTTCGCGTTGCCCCTGCGTCGTCTCGTTTGTTTTGTCCCCGTGGGATTGTTGTACGCACCTGCGGTTGGCACGGTTGGCTACGTGCGGTGCGAAAGAAGTTCATCATGTGTCTTGTGTCGTTCGGTCAATCTCGTTCACCCCACCAGCCCCAATATAAAACATTTTCATGGCATTTACATACACTTGGCAGGAAATGCAAAAAAACAAGTTGTTACAACGCGCACTTCCATGCATGCCTCCCTCTATCCTCGCTTCTTGCTCTGTTCCTCTCCCCACAGTCTCCTACCTCTCCCTCCCCCTCCCCACACTCTCCTACCTCTCCCCTCCCAACACTCTCCTACCTCTCCCCACACTCTCCTACCTCCCCCCTCTATTCCCCTCCCCACACTCTCCCCTCTACTTCCCTCCCCACACTCTCCAACCTCTCCCCTCTGCTCCCCTCCCCACACTCTCCTACCTCTCCCCTCCCCACACTCCCCTACCTCTCCCCTCCCCAAACTCTCTTACCTCTCCCCCCCTCCCCACACTCTCCTACCTCTCCCCCCCTCCCCACACTCTTCTACCTCTCCCCTCCCCACACTCTCCTACCTCTCCCCTCCCCACACTCCCCTACCTCTCCCCTCCCCAAACTCTCTTACCTCTCCCCCCCTCCCCACACTCTCCTACCTCTCCCCCCCTCCCCACACTCTTCTACCTCTCCCCTCCCCACACTCTCCTACCTCAGATGGATGAGAGATCGACAGACGGAGAGACAGACAGATACAAATAGAGATGGCGAGACACGCAACCGAGGCTTTTTGTCGAAGCCTCCACTCGGCCTTCGCTCCGTGGGATGTCTCTCATGTTTCCTGGAGCTCCCTTCCCCCGGTCGTCCGTGCTGTCCACTCCCTGTTCAAGTCCAGGCGCAAGAATATTTTCCCTCTGCCTGCGACCGACTGCCTCTGTCTCCCTGCTAAATATTCCCACCATCTCTGTACGGCATCTTGAGATGCAGCCGGTCGCGCTTAGACTGCGTCGCGTTGTTGTTGGCCTGTGGAGGGGAGTGGAGTGAGAAGCGAGCGAGAGGCCGGGCCGAGTCCGCCGAGGGATGCGCTCGCCGGTCGCCACGACGAGCGCGGCAAGCTGCGGAGTTGCCACGACGCGCGAGCCAGGGTTTAGTGGCGTCCGGGGTACGGAGGGGAACGCTCGCACCGCGCCCTCCGCCAACGGCGGCGACGCTGCGTGGGCGAGCCGGCGGTGCCGCGCGGCGCCACGGCAGCACCACGGCAGCGCCAGCTGTGACGGAAAAAAACCAACAAAAATCTGCCCTTAATTTTACAAAATTGTTATTTCAGGTGGGCGTAATCAATACGCGATTGCTACGACGCGAAAAAATATATATTAACGTGAGCCCGGCGCTGATCGTTACCACATGGGGGCTCTGGGGTTTTTAGCGGCGCGCGCAGTTGACGCTCGCTAGCTTACGGGAATTCTCGCCACCGTCGCCGCGTTGTCGTTTCGAGCGATCGCCAAACGGCGCCGAGCCGCAGCGACCGTGAGAGCATCGCGGCGATTTGTTCAGAAAGCTCGGCAATATTTCTCACTTTGTTCCGGAGCGATCGCCAAGCCAGAGGAAGCGTGACCTCCCCCCACTTCCCCCCCCCGACCTCATCCCCCACATCACTCTCAGATGTGTTTTCGGGTCGTGCTGCACGCTGTTCGACGCGACGTCCAACGTTTCGCTTCACGTGGAGCGAAACGCGTGGCGGTACAACCCGGAAACAGGTGGCGGAGTATTTTAGTCTTTTGTATCTTAATGCAGTAATTGACTTTTGTTTGTCTCTGTTTTGTCTCTCCCTGTCTGTTTGTTGGTCTGTCTTTCTCTGTCTCGCTATCTCTATTTGTGTCTGTCTGTCTCTCTGGCTGTCTGTATCTCTCTCTGTCTCCATCTCTCTACATCTCCGCGTTTCTCCATCTATGCCTCTCTGTCCGTCCGTCTGTCTCTGCGTCACATCCCGCCGTCCGCGTGCACCACTCGTGCTCCAGTGCCCAGCGAGCCGCTGCTGTGCAAGTTTGCGGACGGAGGGCAGAAGAAGCGGCAGAACCAGAGCAAGTACCTGGTGAACGGGCGTGCGTGGCCTCGGGATGGTGATGGGCGCATCGTGAGTGGCCCCCTTGCCTGCACGAGCAACAGCCGTGATCTATCCACAGCTTCATGAAGGCTTCCCACCCCCCCGCCCCACCACGCATGAGTCGCAGCCATCCCTTGCCATTGTGGGAAGTAGCGATCCGGAGAGTCGGACTTGCACCGAGGCCCATAGATTCGCACAGAGACCCATAGACCCGTACCGAGAGCCAAAGACTCACACGGAAACCCACAGACTCGCACAGAGACCCATAGCCTTGTGCCGAGGCCCATAGACTCCCGCCGAGACCCATAGACACACACACACATACGGAGAGATAGACATGTATAGACACTGACAGAGCTAAATGCACTGCAGTCCTCTTTGCTGCTCTCATCCGGGCCTCCGAGTAGCGGTCAACTCCTTGACCAAGTTAAGCAAGTTTCCTACAGTGAGTCACTAAGTGCAATACAACTTCACACGGCAGCAGCTCCGTTCCCATTGGACCGTGTTATCGAGCCGACCGCCCTCCCACCATTACAGACACACGGACGACAGAGCCAATGCATAAACGCTTTCGATCTTAGTTGTCAGCTGTTTACTTTGGGGGCCGTTTATTTTGGTTATTTGGTTATTTTTGGGGGGGCAGGGGCAGCGAGTGGGGCGAGCGGGCCTAGGGGGCAGTGAAAGGGCACGTGTAAGGCGTCGCGCGGTGCAGGAAACCGTCCGCACGCTCGGTGCGTAGAGGAAAGTAGCAATGAATGGCAGGCCCCCTAACATACACGGAAGCTAAAGCGGAGAAGGTGCAGAGCATTACAAGTGCCGCTGTTGCGTTTCTAAAATGTCGCGGTGTGCTTCGTCCCGGTAACTCGACACCGGCCGCGTACGTTAAACCGCACTAACTGACCGCGTAATGCCGCCCTTGCAGACCGGCGTGACCCTGACCTACGACCCGACCGCCGCTCTCCACAATGGGTAAGAGGGGCTGCCCGCATCGGAGTTTCCACCGCGCCGCGTTCCCCGCACTCAGCTGGCAGCCAAGTTCGCTCGGGGGCCGTGGCGACGGTCGGGACCGTGGGCGAGGATAAACTAAAAACTTTAAAAAATATATATTTTACCAGGTAAGGGCCCACTGAGCTCTTTCTCAGAAGCGACCTTGCCACAAATGATAGCTCAATGAAGTGGCTTATCGTCGCATGGAAATTTATCGCGGCCAAATACTCTAAAAGCACGTTGATTCTAAATCTGGAGGAAAAAACCGGAGGACCCGGAGAAAAATCCACACGCCCACGGGGAGAGAGAACATGCAAACCTCCTGTATACCAGGCAACATATCGCCACCACGGCGCCCGACACTCGCCTCACCCTTCAGCCACACTCAACGAGCCAGTGGCTCCAGGGCAGCACTTGGCACCACCGCGGAATCTGTGCCCTGCGCGTGCTCTGAATGAATCTTTGTCATGATTGCGTGAGGACCAATGTGGAGCGACTGTTAGAGAGTCAACGCCAAGTGATTCAGCCGTTCAATTGCTCTGTCTGAGAGTTGCCGAATTCCAGATACACCCACTCACCCACCCGCTCGCTTACTCATGCATTCACCCACGCACTTACCCACCCACTCATTCAACCATCCACCCACCCAGTCGCTTACTCATCCACCCACTTAACCACCCGCCCATTTAACCATCCACCCACCCACTCGTTTACTCGCCCATTGAACCACCTACTGACGCACCCACTTACCCATCCCACCACTGAACCATCCACCCGCCGATCCACTCACCCACTGCTTTCAGATTTCTATTTGAGGCACTGGGAAGTCATACGCTCCACGGTTTGGTGATCGTAGGCACATCATCGTCACCATTAGCCATAAATCATACACTGCTGGATGCAGGCCTCCACAAGCCACCACTATCCATCCTGGTCTCGCGATGCAGTGCTCCTGCTCAAGTCTGATCTCATTGTTACCGTGGGGCATGTCTCCTCCTCTGATGATGGCTGGTGGCCGAGAGGTGACGTCCCCTGCAGAGATGGAGCGATGAGATCAGATCGTGTGCTCGAGCCAGATGATGCGTTGCATCGCGTGAATGTGAGAAGTGGCAACAGCTTCAATACAACCGTCATCCAGAAGTGGATAGATCATAGCTGATGTTGATTATACTGCAACTGTGTGGCATAGAAAAGAAAGTACGATCCCCCGTATAGCCTTTATATGATGTTCAAATATTTGCCACTTCTTGGTCGTGAGCAGGAATTGAACTCTGGTCGTTGGGGTCGTATAACCCAGTACGAAAACCACTACACTACCGCTCCCCAAACGAAGCACACACACACAGCTATTATATACACGTACAATATACACACGCATACAGTTTTCGCCTAGTCAAACGTAACCAGGCAGCCTTGCAAAGTGCAGATCCTTTTGGGTGGGCTGCACTCCACATATGTTGCACGTACAGCAAATAAACATCGCTGGTGGCAGCCAAATGTTTGATGCTTTAGCATAAATATTTTTCCGCTCTCCTCTTCCACCCTCGCCCCTGTCTCCGCCCCTCTTTTTCGTTTCCTTCTGCTTCATCGTTTAACGTCCGCACCCCCCTGCCCCCCCGCCTCATCTGCCTCTCACCATCCGGGTTCCAGGTTCTACTCCAGTCCGTACAGCCTGGCCACGGGACGTATCATGGCCCAGACGCCCGTAGGCCCCTACCTTCCCAGCAGCCCCATCTCCACCTACCAGGTGAGCTGCCGCCGATGCCGCTGCTGCTGCTGCTGGCGATGTTGTTAATCGCCGAGCCCCTGCATGTATGTGTTTGTGTGTATTTTGAACTTCATTCGCACGGTACGTAGCCAACCGTGCTAATTGTAGATGTGGGGGAAGGACAACAAACTAAATACGAAAATCAGTTCTAAAGAAATGAGTTTTTAATCTAGATTTTAAATTGCACAGCTCCAGTTTCTCCCTAATATCGGAGGGAATAGCGTTCCAGACTGCCGCAGAAGCGCATCTGAACGCGCGCGATGCAGTGGCCGTCTTTGTTCGATGGGTAGCAAAATCCGGTGCGAGGATCACCGCGGAGTTTGCGTGATGGTTTACGTTCCTTGACAGATTTGGTTTAGTGACGAGTGGGAGCTCTGTGAAGACGGGAGAGAAGCAGAGATGTAGAGACAGAGACATGGAGAGGGAGAGAGAGAGAGAGTTGCAGAGGAAAACTTAGACATAGGAGGGTCCTGGGGAGAGGTTTTTTTTCAGTTTTTCAGTTTCATTTATTTGGTATAGCTCTTTGAGCCATTCGGCTCTTGACTGACAAGGCATGGAGAGAGATCCAGGGAGAATGCCATGGATAGACAACATGAAAACAGGCAAAGAGACGCGGGCCAAAATAGAAATGCACAGAGAGACATGGAGAGAGTAACAGGGAGAGAGAGTCAGATACAGGGAGAGGTGGAGAGAAGGAGACACGGAGAGACATGAAGAGAAGAGACGTGCACGTGGAGGCCTCTTGCAGTGCTAATCAAAAGTGCCCACAATTGTTTCCGCCCCAAAATGCTTTGCGTGTCTCTGGGCGGCACCGAAACACGTTGGGGGTGTCTGGACCCCTGCTGGGCTTGGCTTCCACGCCACGTTAATGGTTTAGATTGGAAGAGCCAGGCGTGTGTGTATCGTGTGTGTGTGTGTATACTCCGTGTGTGTGCACCGTGTGTGTGTGTGTACTGTGTGTGTGTGTACCGTGTGTGTGTGTACCGTGTGTGTGTATATACTCCGTGTGTGTGTGTGTATATACCCCGTGTGTGTGTGTGCGTATATACCCCTGTGTGTGTGTGTACCGTGTGTGTGTGTACCGTGTGTGTGTGCATATATACCCCGTGTATGTGTGTGTACCGTGTGTGTGTATGTACCGTGTGTGTGTGTGTACCGTGTGTGTGTGTGTACGTGTGTGTATACCGGAGCGAGTGCGAGTTGGTTTGTTTAATACAACCGCGAATTCCGCGATGGGGGAGGAGGGAGTGAGGTGTGACAGGAGGGAGGGAGGGGTGGTCAGGAGCTATTTATACACGCGGCTTTGTCACTGACGATGGAATCCAGCCAGCCACCTACAGACAATGAGCTTCTCTGAGCCACTATCCCTCCTCCAGGCCACTGGATATCATAAGGGGCGTCGTATCTTTAGGGTGTGACGCCGAACAAAGGCAGCTCCTTCAGCCGGCCATATCATCGGCTCCTTCCTTCCTCCTTAGACAAGGACATGCGCAGCCCGCTCTGTTAATCCTCTACTGGATGAGGGCCCTCCCCCGCACCGCACGGGTCCGCGAGGGTTGTTTGATCAGACCTCACCACGCCGCTGGTCGGTGCGGGTTGGTGGAGGAGAGGCGGAAAGGGGCGTGAGCGTAGAATTCCATCAGGACGAAAGATCTCGCTGCACAGTCCCACGACGTCCCGTTTGTGCACGGTGGATTGACACGAGCTCGTGTTGTCTTTTAAAGAAATGAAGCAGAGAGAATAACGCGACACAAAAAATTATCGATATTTTTTTGTTTCATCGAACGGTCGCACCGAATCATGCCATTTCAAACGAGCCGCAGAGGGAGGCGGAGTTTTAAAGAGTTTTGTTCCCGGCAGCGGCCCCCAGCGGCCCAGATGGAGAATCCAGACGACATCACTTCCACGGCGAGGCACAGCGGGAGGGCAGACAAGGGAGAGAGAGAGAGAGAAAAAAATAACCCGGGTCAGGTTTCCGTGCAGAATTGATTTAGAACGACTCCACGGTGGTTAAATCAATTTAGCAAAGTTGATTTGAAACTTGAATCCTCGAGGTGCGCACCCAATCCCTCCCCCCTCCCCCCTTTCCCCCCCAAATATATATTTTTAAACTTAAAGATTGATTTAAGCTGGTTTGCACGAGCAGCCAAATCAATTCACAATCAAACCGACGTGCCAAAAATCTATTCTGCTCCAGTTGAGTCAACAAGGCCAAGAGTAAATAACGACCGAGACAGACGACCACATTTGACGGTCGGCCAGAACAATTGGCTTTCAAGGCGGTGCGGAAAAAATCAGGAGTGGAATGCGACGCAAGAATTTCACGAAAAGCGTTACGAATCCCGTGGGAGCAAACTCCGGAATCCTCGGGCCTACTCGGTTCGAGAGGAACCGAGGCAAGGCCGTGTGAATGTACGTACGTTGAACTTCTTTCGCACCGTACGAAACCAAACGTGCCAATTGGAAGTGCGGGGGAAAGGCAACAAACTAAGCAAAAAGCAGTTTTACAGAAATGTGTTTTCAATTTTGGCTGCCAACTGTCCCAGTTCAGCTGGGACGGTGGTGGTGGTGGTTTTTGAACGTCCCGGTGCGCTGCTGCAGCTTTTGTTAGAAGCGAGATTTTGACGCCGGTTTAAGTCCTGCTGGCCTCACGTTTGACGCATGATGCAGGCAAAGGGGGGTGGGGCTACCCAAGTAGTGGGGGGTGAAGATGGAGGCGATGCCGCTGGTGATCAAGTGGGCGTGGCTACGTCGGGGAGCGGCGGTGTAGCGGTTAGCGCTACGCTGCGCTGTTAACCTGGTGACCCAGGTTCGATTCTCGCTTACGGCCAACACCAGTGACGATTATCTGAACCGGTCCTGGGCCTCCCCTAGGTCGACTCAGCCTCAAATGAGTAGCTGGTGCGGTGTGTAAACATCGCCACTGGGGACACAAAGGCGGCCGGGCATGGTGTTGGTCACCCACCCCCTCGTGTGCCATGTGCTCACTAACAACACTTTCCCCAACAGTTTATTGAGGCTATTACGGGGGATCTTTATATTTGTGGCGATGTATAAGTGGGCAGAGCTGACAGAGGGGAGGGTCTGCAAGCTCACCATGTGTCCCAGTTGAGCTTCCCAGAAACCCTTGGTCCTTGGCTCCCGAACCCAACATTTCTAATTTTTTTTAACTTAAGACCGATTTAATCCGGTTGCACAAGCAGCCCCGCCCAGTGCTGTGGTTCCCACACGGCGGCCGTTCCGCGAATTCTACTCGGTGTAAAAACGAGCGAGCGTAACGCCGGTGCGATCGTGACTGATGGCTCGCCGTGTCCCAACAGGTCCACAGCACGTCGTGGATGCCGCAACAGCCCTACGTCATGCAGCCGGTGAGTGGCGGCTCTCGGAGGCACGGCTTGGCCGACCTGTCTGTCCAGAATCCCCACCACCCCTCCTCCCTCCCCGCCCGCCCGCCTCCTCCCCTTGGCTCCACCGCGATCCGCTCACCGCGCGGGAAACCAGGGAACGCAGCCGCAGTGTGGATTCTGAGGGTGACCTACGAGCAATCGGTTATTAGTTACATGACAGAGAGCATCTGTGAGCTTTGCCTCCCTCCCCTCACACTGCGAGGGTCCACGGCCCTATGATCATATCACATCTATGGAACTACTAGCTACCAACTTAGTACGGTACCTTCAAAGGTACCGTCATTGGCATAAGATCACCTTGTTGAAGTGACTTACGAATCCTCATAGGATTTTGTCCATACATATGGGGGGGGGGGGGTGGGGGTGTCTGGACACCCGCGACCTCTACCACAGCGGCTGCTCCCGCGGGGCCCGCGACGCTGACGATTGTGAACGACACGACGTGGGGACCCGTGACTCTGCAACGTTTCCAGTCGACGGGCATTTAAACAATTAGGACGACGGCGGCAGCGGCGGCGGCGCTGTGTGTTCGCGTGAAGTGAAAAGAACGAGCCGTGAGACGTTGCGCAAGATAGCGGCGCGGTCGGGGATCTCTCTGCGTGGTTTTCACGCGACCCTCGACGCGGAACCACAAACGGGCAAATCGGGTTTGAAAAATGCAGAAGCGCCCCTTCGCGTGGACGGGCAGAGCGCCGCGGCAAAACGGGGGATAAAAGGGAGATGGACGAAATTTAATACGGTGCCCACGGGACGTGGCCCAGACATATGTGCACGATACAAGTGTACAGGCGGTGCAACTGCACTCGGGCCCACTGGGCGGAAGGGCCCCGATATGCCAGGAAATTTGACCTTACCAGCCATTCTACATCTCCACCCACAGGCGTATAAGAGACCCAGAGATTCACGTGAACACCAATCGACTCACATATAGACCCAACTGCTCATATAGAGACCCACAGGTTTATAGTGACCCACAGATTTCACGTGTCCGACCCATAGACTCACATGGAGAACCATAAATTACCACAGAACAACACAGGAATCCGTTGCGTAGCCATCCGCGTGTGGTAGGCGGTGCAACTGCACGGGTGCCAAGTCACAAAGTGGATGGGGGGGTATATGGGAGGGCCATCATATTTAGTTCCTTGCACCGGGAGGGCCCGTGCCAACGACGCTTCGTCACTGGCATTGCCAGCGCTCACTCACTCACGCACGCTTGTTAGCGGACAAGCCGCACAGAGAGACCCCCCCCCCCCCGCCCGCCCCCGCGTTGCCCCACCGATGGCGGTGAGGCAACACCGCCAGGCCCACGTGTTGACGTCACGCGTAACGGCCGCACGGCAGTCGTGGCAGGGGGCGACGCGCGGTCCTGGGAACGGGAGCGCGGAGCGGAGCGCTCGCTGGCAGCGCCGCCCGCCTCTGTTGCGCAACGCGACGGGGGCCGTTTTCCCATAATGAGCGGCAGACACGCGGAGCCGCTAATTTAAGCTGCAAATTAGCCCAAAATACAAGGGTAATTGTGTAAAGTCATGGGAACATTTTGGCGAAAAACACGAAAAAACCCCCCTTAAATCAGGTAAACAAGCACGAGCTTATCAGATTTCAGAAGCTAAGCAGTGTTGAGCCTGGATTGTGCATGCGTGGGTGACCGCCCTGCACTAACAGGGTCGTCATAGAGCTGCAGGGCTATGTGGTGGGCAGCAGGGAGCAGTGCAGCAACATCCGTTGTTGCATTGTACTTCTACGCGCCCACATCTACCGCTAATCGCCTTCACCAACTCGCACTGACCGGCGTAGTGAAGTACGGTCAAATAACCCACCACGGACCTGCACGGTGGGGCGGGGTCACATTGTGGCATAGAGCATGGATCTCTGTGCGAGTCGGTGGCTCTTTTTGCGAGTCAGTGGGTGTCTGTGCGAGTCAGTGGGTGTCTGTGCGAGTCAGTGGGTGTCTGTGCGAGTCAGTGGGTCTCTGTGCGAGTCAGTGGGTGTCTGTATGAGTCAGTGGGTGTCTGTGAGAGTCAGTGGGTGTCTGTGCGAGTCAGTGGGTCTCTGTGCGAGTCTGTGGGTCTCTGTGCGAGTCGGTGGGTCTCTGTGCGAGTCAGTGGGTGTCTGTGAGAGTCAGTGGGTCTCTGTGCGAGTCAGTGGGTCTCTGTGCGAGTCAGTGGGTCTCTGTGCGAGTCGGTGGGTCTCTGTGCGCGTCTGTGAGTCTATGTGCGAGTCTGTGGGTCTGTGCAAGTCAGTGGGTCTCTGTGCGAGTCTGTGGGTCTCTGTGCGAGTCGGTGGGTCTATGTGCGAGTCTGTGGGTCTCTGTGCGCGTCTGTGGGTCTCTGTGCGAGTCTGTGAGTTGATGGGTCTGAGTCGAGCTGTGACTGCGTTCGTGTGCAATCCATCGCTCATGTCGCCGACCGTTGTTGCCCAACCGTGCACGGTTTTGCAGGAGGTTCAAACGGCGTCCGTCTGGCGACCCCAGACCCCGGACGCCATCGAATAGCTTCCCACAGACTTTTAATGAAAAAAAGCTGTTGCTTTTCAAATGCCTTATGAAAGACGACTCATCGTGAATTAGCGCATTATCAGCAGTGCCCCCCCCCCCCCCTTCTTCCACCCCACCCCACACGCCCGCTGTTTTGCGGTGCGATCCGAGCCAACGCTCGATCGCTCTCAACTTAACTTCCAAAATCATCAGCGTTGCTTTTCACACCTACGACGTGACCCGCTGCACTCACCCCTCCCTCCCAGCATCTGCCCCTTCCTTCGACCATCTCCCATCGCCCGGGGTTGCCCTCCCGCCCCAGCCCCCCCCCCCCCAGCCCTAGTCATTGGGGAACGGGGGAGTAGAGGTGCGAAAAATCACACCCACGGTTGTTTTTTTTTAAGTTGCAAGTGGGAATCGCCGTACGACGCGAGCGCTGGTCCGCACGCGCTTGTTGATTTAGGCCAAGCGGGCGCATTCGCAATCAGCAGCCACGATCGATCCACTGCTGGATGCAGCAACGCGTCCTGTCTCTCGCGAGCGATGCTGAACGTGAGCCGACTTCATCTCGTGACGCGATGAAACATTAAACGAAAAGATGAGAAGTGCCCAAAAAAGCACGGGGAGGTGCAGGCTTGAAATTATGCTGGGGAAACATAAAGCAGGAAGGCCACGGATTAGGGAAGAGATCAGAGGCTTCTTATCGACTTTGAAGAAGAGTGAGCAGGCTTGGGGCAGCACACGATGGCGGATGGGCTGCGGGCCATTGGTTGGGATGTACAGACACACCGACGTACGTACGGACAGACCGACGGTGAGATGGACGGACGGGGTGAGACGAAACGGCAAACGGGCGCCCGGCGTTCCGCGCCTACGCGTGCGTCATCGCCGCTGACCGCGGCTGACCTGGGCGGCAGCTGTATTATAACGCGCGACAGCTGTCTCGTGCTCGCGTGTGCGCGATGCCGCAGGGCACCGTGATGTCGCCCGGCATGGAGCACCACATGTCCATGCAGCCGTCCGGCATGATGACCCCGCTCGCCCAGCAGATGGGACACCTCTCCCTCGGCGCAAGCGCTTCGCCGGTGAGGATGCGAGACGGGCACGCGCGTACACGGTGTTGCGCCGGTGGATTGACGCGTGTGACGGTGCGTCGGGTGACTTGCCAGAATCGGTCGTTGGGACAGCAGCAGCTGGACAAGTTGTGGCTTCTTTTCTCACAGAAATATTGATTTACGACACGCCGGTCAGACTGGAGCAGGCACGTGACAAATTTCCACAGCTGCGGCGAGAGATTTACTTGATGCGGTGTGCTGGGAAGGCGACGCAGTCAGACCCTGCTCAAATTAAGCCCTGATCGGAAGCAAATTATAATGGTAAATAATATATTTACTTATCCAGGAAAGCCCCACAGAGTCTCAAGACTCTTTCTCAGGGAGGGTTTCGCTTCACGTGGGCGAGCAAGCGGAGAACCCCGAGAGGAAGAAACACTCAAAAGCTCCGCACGGGTAGACTCACGAATCCACGGGTGGCGCGGTTCTATCCGCGCGACGGCCGCCGTCATCTTCCCAGAACCCGGTCCTCGTCTTACGTCGAGTCATACGCTCGCCGGGATTTTAAACTCGGAACTTTCCAACCGCGATTCATTCGCTCGCAGAAATCCCCCCCCCCCCCCCCCGCCGCACAAGGTGCCCCAACCGAGAATTGTGCGGCAGCGTACGCGCGAGAACGATTAAGACAAACATATTTTGGAGATGACTCCACCTGCCAACCGCTGGGAAACGATCACCCCCACCCCACCTTCCACGTGTTTGTGTGTCTGCTCATGCGAGTCGTGTCGCAAGCTCCTGGAAGTTAGCAGGGACCTAACGCTGCCCCCGCACGACAGAAATACATTTAATTTCACGCTCGCTGCCAAAGTGCGGGGAAAGACCCCACCGGCAAGGATTGTGGTGACAGATTCATCACCGTCAACCTGCGACGGCTGTCATCTCCCGCGCAAGCTGCACGCCTGCGTCCGTTGTGGATACCAATTGTTTTTTGCTGCTTTCGGAAAACGATTAAAGAATTTAACTTTTGACAAGTTAATTCGGTGACGTTGCTGCGATGACAGCGGTGCACAAACAACAACAAGCTCTGCACGTTCGGCAATAGCAACACCGCCTGTGGCCTTAACAGGAAACATTTAACAGGTGACAATGTTTCGGGCAATGGCTCTTTATAGTGCATTTCCTGAAACATTGTCTATTTACGTGTGAGCCCAGCGGATTCTCTTAAGTGTGGCCAAGTTGATGGTCTCAGCCTGGTCATTCAGTGAGAAAAATAACCCATTCAGTAATAAAATTAACAAAATCACTCGATTCTGGAAAATTCCACCTCTGAAGTTGTAAACGTTGGTTGGAGTGTCACGTGACAGGTATCGCGTGGATAAGCAGTCGCTTGAAAGAAACTCGGAAGCACTTCTGTGATATCTCAATCCACGGGTCGCTCTCAACGCACAGGGTGATGATGCACTGCTTCGTGCAAGAGCTCCAAATGGACGTGTCAACTCAAGACAACAAATCCGATGGCAAAATTGGCGCATTTTAATTTTTTTTGGAAAAAATATTACAACGGGGACAAAAACATTCCTCGCGTATTGGGAGGAAGCTCACAGGGCTCAACCGCTGTGCCAACAAGAAGACCGAGGAGCGTTGTTGTCCATGCGAGGAGACGCAGCGATTAGCGCAGCACTGCCACCTGGCGCTCTCGACAGCGCAGTCCGCCTCGCCACCCAACGCGCCTCCAACCTTTGCCAGCGTGGTACGGGAGACCCCTAGCGGCCAATGCGTGACAGCACGAGGAATGTTATCCGCCGTCGCGGTCTCAAGTACAACGGAGCGGGGGGAGGTGTTGAAGGCGGTTTAACGTGAAGCGCAGAGAGAAAAAAACGACTTCGCGCACGCATGGATTTGACGCATTTTGGTGACGCAGGAAATGCTCACCGAGTCTTAAGACTCGTTCGCTCGCTCGCAGAGGCTCCTGCTCCATTGCGGTGGGGTTTTTTTTTGCGGTTGTCAGTTATCGGCCCCGGAGGGATTATTGGGCGAGTTGACCTCTGACCAGGATTCGAAACTCACGGCGTCCCACCGGAGAGTCAAGCGCCCTTGACCGCGTGGGTGGATATTCGCTCCCTCGGATAACGAAGCTGAGATATCCTGAGATAACCGACCAGAGTTGGGCGGAGCGTTGGCTCAGCGATAACGCACGGTGCCATGAGACCTCGGTTCAGTTCCTGGGCCACGGCTAACATCGGTGGCGAGCGACAGCTGAACAAATCCTGGGGCCTACCCCCTTCGCAACCCTACACAGACCCGTGTGGCGCTAAATAGTCAAACAACCCTCACGAATTTGATTTAAAGCTTTCGTGACTGCAGGGCTTCATATTCTTGGTTCTTTCGGTAAAGTCACGTAGAAGGGAAATAATTAAAAAAACATAATACAAATATATATAGTTTAACATTTTTTATTTTATTATTTCCCTTCTACGTGACTTTACCGAAGGAACCAAAAATATGAAACCCTCATGAACTAGACGGCATAGGGTAGCCGTCATCCAGCAGTGGATTGACAAAACGCTGCGAGTTACCATTTTTCATGTATTTACAGTAAAAAGTAAAGGTGCCTCCCTGCAACTGCTTGCGATCGCCACTACTGGCAGATGGGCCTCCACGAGAGGGAGCTCTAGAGCAGCTGGTTCTATCGGTGTTATTTTTAGCGTACTCTTCCACAAGGAATAGACACCTAGCTTTACTGTGTATATATATATACTTGGACAGCTGCAGTCGTTCTGGATCCAGAGGAACTTGGCTCGAGAAGTCGCCAGTGCGGCGGCCTTCACCGTAGCCGAAGCCTCTGCGCTGTCCCGTCGCTGCGCCCTAGAAGGGATGAACAAGGAGGCGCTTCTAACGCACGCGCTGAGCTCAAGTAGAAAACCATCGCACCTCGGGGTTCGCATCCGTCGCGCGTGCGCTTCGTTCCCGTGCTGCGCCGCCACGGCCGAGCGGACCGGCGTGGCGCACAGCTCCTGACGAGAACCAAGATCGATCCCAAACCACCAGAGCGCGGGCGCCTCTTTCGGAATGGCTTTCCACCGAAGCGATTGACTGGCAGGCGTCACGGAACCTTTGGAACTTAGCGGCGCGATACAAATGCGGTCGTCGTTGCGTTCACCAAGCGTGTGATGTGTTATTTTCACCTTTTTCCGAGGGAAGCCAGGGAAGTTTCCGCCGATAGGCGAACGTCGGCGCGCGTGGGGCTTCGTCCAGCGGCTGCCCACGACGTCGTTAAAAAGGCGGCGAAAACCGAGATGCCGAAAACTAACCGGAGCGCGACGTTGTTTCTCGTCCGCAGTACATGACCGCGAGCTCACACATGCAGGGGACCTACATCCCTCACCAGTACGCGCACATGTCCGCATCCTCCATGGCGGTGGAGGTGAGAACCAGGGGAACTAACGCCACCGTAGATGGGGCCCGGGGCCCGGTGGGGCCTGACGGGGCACCAGCCTGCTCAATGCGAATGTCCATCTCGAGCGTCGTTCACACCCAGCACGATCCCCTCCTCGGAGCCGCACTCGGCCGGAGAGAGCGCAAGGCAGCAGTGGCGAGGGCGCAGCTGTTGACCCCCCCCCCCGTGCCCTTGGAGGCGTGGGTCTACTGCAGCCCTGCCAGAGGCAGCCTTGCACCGCTCTCTTGCTTTTGAACGTTGATTTTTGTAAAAGTCGTGTAAACAAAACGTTTGGTTGAGCCTCCCCCGCGAATATTTACACCCACCGCTATGCGAGCACCGCGCGCTCCCCCACGCGCCGTTGGCTCGCCGCGTAAAGACACGCCGATTGGTCGATAAAAGCCAATGGACGAATCGAATCGTGCTCAAGGGACACAATGAAAATGAAGAACGTTCTTTTTGCATGTCGGCGGTATTTTCACGGAAGCGTCACGCGTCTTCGCTTGCCCCGCTCGCCGTGCCCCCAGGATGGTAGCGGCCAGCAGCAGCAGGTGTCCATGGACGGTGGCGACCACCAGCAGTACGCGTTCCAGCAAGCCAAGTAGCGGCCGGCCCGGCGAGGCCACTGCACGCAAGGTAGCGCTGCCACCATCCCTACCGCCACCATCCCTAACACCACCACCACCATCCACGCTGCCACCACCATCCACGCTGCCACCACCTTCCCTACCACCACCAGCCGCTCCACACCACATTGCAACTACGCCATACAAAATAAAATCACAGTTAAACAAGTGGAAATAAAAATGAAATTCTAAGCGCAAACACCAAAATGTACTCATGATAATGGCGCTCTAACGCTGTGGTTGTTGTTCTTCTTCGCCTGCCCCGATCCCTGCTCCTCCTCCCAAACACGCAGGTTGGCCCACGGTGGAGCAGCCCGGTGATGCGCAGTTGGGGAATGTGAAGCAAAGTGCCTTGGCTCTGAAGCACGGCTCCCGTTGGGGGGGGGGGCAGGCACCAGCCCTGCAGGGCAGCTTTAGCACACGCACACACACGCATGCATACACACACAAAGATCCTGCGTATAGCCTGGACAGACTGTTGGGGCAAGCGCTGGTAGCGAGTAGCACCGATGAAGGCCGACACGGCGCACGAAGCTGCGGGTGGGCCAGCACCATGCTCTGATGCCTCTGTCTCCCCAGTGCCGATCTTTTAAACACCAAACGAGGTACTCGCTTGAGGCCCAGTTGACCTACGTACACACACATGCACGCACGTACACACACACACACGCACTCACACACGAGAGTCTTAACAAGCGCCATCCTTCGCGCGGACCGACATCGACGAGCCTGCGGGGACTTCTTTTCCTCTGCCTCCCCCCCCCCCCCCCCCCCCAAAAATATATTTTATTTATTTTGTTTTTTGTTCCCCGGTGACCATCCTGAGCAATTGCTACGCTACCTAAGATGTCGCCACCACGGTGCTTTACGCGAAGACTCCTGCTGCTGCTGCTGCGAGTGACCGAGATTCAAGGAGCGGGCATCCAGCAACCACCCCCCCCCCCCCCCCCACGGCTGTCGTGACGAACCTCCAGCAAAGGGAGCGGCGTGTAAATAGACGCGTGCTTTTTACCCTTAGTCACGCGCGAGAGAGATTTTTTTCGCTCGCTCACATTTTTTCTTCATTTGTGTTGTCGACTAAAAGACGTCGCTTCTCCGGTCGTTTTAATTCGCTGAGCGGGAGTGGGGGGTGGGGGGGGGAGTGATGTTCCACGTGGGTTTGTTTCGCTTTTTTGGGATCGTTTTTGAGTCGGGTAACAATCTCCCGGGGCGCGCGCACGGAGACAAAGCCACGCTTCCCTCGCTTGAGTTTGCGTTCGTGATCCCTCGCGCACGTACACGTACGAGCCCCGTGCGTTTTTAAGTCTCTTTTAGGAGTTAAGTTTTACGCATTCGCGTTAAGTCGTTAAGTTTGATTCATTTTTTTGTTCTCTGCTTCGATGTTTTAAGTTTTGTCGCTTTTTTTCCTTAAAATAATGTAGATCGTACTTTAGGAATTATAGGTAGCTTGTTAAGGCTTGCAAATAGAATAAAAAGAACAAGATTGTTTTATTCCTTCTCAGAAAATTTTACCAGATGATTGATTTAAACGATTTTTTTTAAAGAATATTCTATATAAATTCTTTTTTTTTTTAAGAATGACTTTTCAAGATTCACACATTTTTTTTCTGGAGTGCAGTAATTTTTCTATATCAAACAAAAAATTGAAAAAAAAACATTTTCCGTCAGATTAAGCAGCGATAAGAGGTTGGTTAAGTTTATCTTTCCGTTTTTTTGTGTTTGTGTTGACGTCGCTCGTATTAAGATAGCAGGTGGGGTGGGGGGGCAACCTCTGGCGAAGAAGCGTGGAGGCGCAGGAGGAGGAGGAAGCTGGCGGGGCAGTCTGCTGCCGCCACCGCCACCGCAGCCAAACACAGAGTCTAAAGCACTTAGTCAGCATTACGCCGCCACCACCGCCACCGCCGCGGGCGACACGCAGCCACGTGGGGCCCTACGACACTACCAAAGACGGCGCGCTTCTGCGGACGCGCGAACGCCAACTTTAAGGCGGGGGGGGGGGGGCGTGGGGTGGGGGGCAAGGCTTCAGAACTACAAAACTGTTAACACTTTAAACCTTTTTACATCTGTGGCAGGACCATTTTGTTCTCATATTTTACTCCGTTGTTTTTGTGTAAGCGTGCGTCGTCGTCGTTGTTGTTTCTCGCGCGCGTGGCTGATGTGGCTGATGTGGCTATGTTGGAAGGAAGACGCGGCCCGATCACGTAAACACCTTTAGTTTTGTCCCCGTGCGCCGTGGCCGTGCGTCCGCCTGGGCTGTCGCTCCTCCCCCTTGAGTGTGAAGCAAGTCGGTGAGAATTCTACGACAGCCGGCAGCGTAATTAGGAGAAATTCGGATAAAAACGCAGAGATTGCGATTCATCATGAGTGACAAAATCACAGTTGGCATCGACCCCGGGTCTGGTGTGCAGCGCCATGAACGTGAGGCGCAAGACTTTTAAAGTGGCTTTCGGGGAAGGGATTCCGCAGCATTTGATTGACGTTTGCTGCGGCTGAATGGAAATTCATTCTTAGAGCAGGAATTTCGTTTCAATGAATTGAAAACCCAATTCAAAGCGATTGTTTGCGTGGAGAAGTCATTGGTGACCGGGCTGAGAACCACCAGCTGGCTACACCCGTCGTTAATGAATACTTCAGACCCGCGTCGGGACGACCCGGGCCACGCGTCTTAAGCCATTCACCGTCTCAATAAGCGCCGTTTGCCTCTATTGTTTGTTTCTGTCGTCGATCGTGCCTCCTTCCTCCAACACGTAAAGCAGAACTGCGGAGCAATGTGTGTGGGGAACGTTCGCTCCGAATACGCCTCGTACGACGCTGCGCGGTGCCAACCAAGGGGCGCGTAAGGGGGGGGGGGTGGGGGACGTCGGTGTAGCACGCGGTCGGTTGGCACGGGCCCCCCCTCCCCACGGTGCAACCGCCGCAGCCCGCGCGCTCGATAGCCACGCCGACCGCTCGACGCACGGCACGGTCGGCGTGCGCGGGTCTTCCAGCGTGCGTGCGGGGGTCTTCCAGTTCCTGCTCTCACGAGCGTCGCCACGAGGGATGGCCGGTATCTACCTCAACGGGCGAGCGCGTGCGTCGTCTCGTATCCTCCTCCTCCCGCGCACGCCGACGAAGAGCGCCCTCCCCGAGCACGCGGGTGCGGCGGTCCACGCGGCGGAGAAGCGCCGGGCCACCGTATTTTCTCAGACTTGTCGTTTGCTCGCTCCGATACGTTTTGTAATCCGTGGCTCGATTTCAGCCGGGGGGGGGGAGATCTGTCGGTCTGGGTTGGCGACTCGGGAGAATATCTCTCCGTGCGCGGTACACCACGTCCAGTATAGCTCCTGCTACGGCTGTGGTGACTTGCTCCTACGACTCGCGCGCCACCTGCGCCGGTCTCCCAGTGACCCGGAGAGAATTCAGAGATGGAGTGTGTTGTTTTTCTTCCAATAACACAACCCAGCAGCGTTCTTTTTATATATATAAACAAGCGGAAACCGTTCCAGAGTTTTCTTGTTCAGACAAATGCTGCTGGATAATATTGGTCTGGAAAGCCTCAAAAGGCCCATGGATTCCAGATATTTGACTCTGTACGTGGAAGCGCAGGAATGGAGTTCCGCTTACAGTCGAGAAATAAAATCAAGCCCTCTCTTCCAGTTCACGTCACCACCACGGCGGCATTTGATATTTTTGTTCGTTTTAAAGAGACATAATTTTTCACGGGGAAATGTAAAACGTCACCCCTCCGGAGCTGTACAGTGCGACCAGTTTGTAAGTTTGGTAACGTTGGGCAGACGTTCGGCAAGACGCGCCGCGGATCTCTCGCGAGACGAGGCCGGACCGCGGCACGCGACTCAGCTGGGGCTCCGCGTCGCCATCGTTTTAGGAGACGGTGCGTGATCGCTGTCCACCACGAACCCTGTCCACCACGAACCCGACAGAGCGAGGGCGGAACCAAGGATGTCGATGGCATTGTCGTTTAAGTTCGTACGCTCGCACGGCCTGACGTTGTTGTGCGAGGCATCTTTGTAAATAATCGTTTAAAAAAAAAGAAAAACTACCCACCCACCTCTTCTAGTTACCGGCAGTAAATTATCAGATTGTAATTTATAACAAAGGTCTTTTGTCTGTACAGATATAAACAGAGATGTCTATACGATCGCGCAAGTCAATTTATGGTTTTTTTTATTTTGGGGTTTGTTCTTCGTTGTTTTTTTTTTCTTCGGTTGCCTGGACTCGGCCGACAGGGGTTGAGTTTCATTTTCTGGTTGACACGTTTTGTCGTTGAAATTGATCGCGACCGGTGGAAGGAGACCTGAATTGTGGAGTTCTGAATTAAAAGAAAACGCTGTTTGATTCGAACGTTTTCGACTCGATGGACGATGTCGTGCCCGGTGGTGATCATCTCGTGGTTGTTGTTCGCAAACCTGCCAGGGCGGTGGCGGCGCAGTGGTGACACCGCCCACGCCGCACAGCAAGAGGGACCTCGGTTCGATTCCAGACTCGGGCGCCCTTCTGTGTGCAGTGCTTACGCCTTCACAGGGGGCTCTCGCTAACAGTTCCGATGCTCTCCCCCGGTTCTCCATGGGTTTCCCCCCATAGCTACACACACACTCACGCGCACGGTGTAAATGACTCGAATTGGACGAAGGTGACGGTCGCTTGATCATACTTCAGCACGCTGGTTAATGCATCTTGGTGAAGACCGATACGGCGTATGTCATCTGCGTCATTACACTCTCGTGCGTGGGGAGCGGTGGTGTAGCGGTTAGCGCGCTGCACTACGAACCCGACGGCCCGAGTTCGATTCCTGCTCACGGCCATCAACATCAGTGGCGATTATCTGAAGGGGTCCTGGGCCTCCCCCTACGTCGACTCGGCCTCGAATGATTACCAGTCACACACACACACACCACCCCACACCCACACCCACGCTCACATGAATGACCCGTCCTGCGCTCTGCTATCCCTGCACAGACACAGCTATGACGGTGCGCTCACAGGGGGCTGCGTTTAACCCACGCGTGTCGCCGGCTTGGCAAGACAGCTGCAGCGAGGCGGCGTCTGCGTACGAGAAGTCGCGAGCACGCACACGGTGATGCGGTCAGGGGAGAGGGGGCGGTGGGGTGGGGGGTTGAGGGGGGAGGGCGCCTGCATCCGACCCACCTATAGCCCACCCAACAACACCCCCATCCCTCACCCACGGGGGCTCTATTTTCGTTTCTCCCTCGATGGCCGATTTGTTTGCTTGCGAGACACGTGTGTCTACGTGTGTGTGTGTGGGTCGACTCTGCCTCAAATTAGTGTCTGGGGCGTTGCGTAAAGATCGCTAATGGGGAGACAAAGGCGGCCGAGCGTGGCGCTGGCAATTCACCCCCTGGAATTAGGTGCTCGCTGAGAGCACTTGCTCCAAAAGTCTGTTCAGGCTCTAGGGGGGATCTTTGCCTTGTGTCTGTGTGCGTATCTGTGTGTGTGTGTCTGTGTGTGTGCGTGTTTGGCCTGGCGAGCAGTTTGCACGGAGGGTGTCTCCCAAGTCCTCCTTCAAATCCGCCCCCCACTCCGAGCTGGACAGCAGCCACGGCAAGGGGAGTGCCGGGCCGCGGCGCTCCGCTGGGGGCTCGAGACATTCTCGCGACGACGCAAGCGCCGTGCTCGCCCGCTCAGTGTCCACGGCTGGGGGACCGGCTGCACTCGCGGCCCGTGCGACCCGAGGTCCTGGCCACCGCCCGCACCGCAGCCGGACCTCACGTCCTGCCGGGGGGGGGGGGGGGGTGCGAACCCTCCGACAGCTGAGGACGATGGGCGAAGCGAGGGTCGCTGGCGGTATCACTCACCGCTGATGGCGGATCGAACTCAGGCCGCCCTGGTACGTTGCGCAGCGACCCCTGGACTCGAACGGGGGTAAGGAGCCAGTCGTGAACACCAATAGATGGCCGGTGTGGGGGGAGGGTGTGGGGGAGGGTGTGGGGGGATGGGTGGGAGTGGGTTGTTCGGTTTTACCAGCCGCTAACCATCTTCGCGGAAGAGTAAAAAACAGGGCCGTGTCAACGAGGCCAATGGTCACGGTCGTGGAACAAAGCGAGTTTCAGAACTCCACGGGGGTCGCCTGCCCCCAAGCGTCGGATGGGGGTTGGGGGGGGGGCTGAAGGCTCCACCTCCCCGTTAAAAATAATTGAAATCAAGTTAAAAATAAAAATGTTGGTACGATACTTAGTACCAGTGGCGGTTTTTTTTCTTTTTCTTCTGCTTAGTCAAAGTTCGCGCTCGGATCTGCCGCTCCATCGTTCGTGTAATCCGTGCGACGCACGCGAGAGAGAGACAGAGAGGGCGGGCGGGCGACTCGGCCGGCGCAGCGCGAGGCCTCTCGCTCCGGCGTCTCGCGGAAGAGGCGGCGGGCGAGGCACGCGCGGGCCGCTCACGGCAGCCAAGACCCCCACACCGTGCTCCATCGGAGCGCGGTTATTTTTAGGAAATCAAAACCACAGGGGCCAAAGTGCCGTGGTAAATATAGTGGCGACACACACACGCGCGCGCGCGTATGTGTGTAGTGAACGAGCGCGCACAAACAAGGGAGCAGTATAGGACTTATTGCCAGGCTAAGCGCGCGAGACAGATCCGAGTCACTGCACGGCTCGTGAAGGAAGCGCTATGTTGGCTGCTGATCAAAAGTCATTCTGCTTTGTCAGTGGTGCCCAAGCACAAATTATACAAAAGTTGAACACATTTGTTACATCTTTTTTGAACGCAGTGCCATTAACACGTGATATATCTACTCTGAAGAAGGACCGTATACTGAAACGTCGTCCATTATTGTTTTTGCTTGTATTAGGGATGCTGCCGTGGTGCAATGGTTTAGCCCGCTGAGTTTAGAGGGCCCTCGATCAGAAGTTGAGTGACAATGTGGGCCGCACGTGTGAAATGCAACATGGCCACAGGACCTCGGGGATCGATCCCTGCGGTTTCTGTCCCGACGCTCGCCACAGTCACATCTAGCGGCGAGCGAGAGTCAGCCACCGGGGAGAAGCGCCACATTGTACAAAGTTGGCGCTTCAGGTGTTGACCTAAAGCAAAACGTTAACTAACAAGTAAAAAATTAGAATATTTGTGCCACTACTTTTCGAGGAAAGGACGCTGCTGCTCCGTGACGGTTCGAACAAATTCGCACCTGCGACCCAGCAGGTTCGACTCCATCTCCAGGCGCGGCAAGTTGTAACAATGGAGCAAGGTTTTTGAAATCCTCCCTGCTGCCTTTGTCCACCGAGTCGTGAAAATGGGTTCCACCACAGTTAATTATTCGAAGAGTGGGTGTCAACACAGCCTCCTGTGGGGCTCTGGACAGCTGCATGTGGAGGCCCTTCGACCAGCAGTGGTGGTGGTAGTGGTAGGTGACCAAGCAGTTGCAGGCCTGCACCTTTACCTTCTGCTGTTATTGTTTTTTTAATAAGCGTTGGGGAACGGACTTCGAGAGGAGGTGTCGGTGTCGTCTCAAATTGGGAATACTGTGTCTCCAAACGACAGAACGTCTCCTCGCTGGTGAGGGCATCGTCATTAACCGCGGGTGTCACTCGCACAGTCGCAAGGAGGAGGAGAGGTGTGGTGGGGGGGGGGGGAGACAACCCTCGCTGCTGGTGTAGGGCCACGGGGGAGTTGGCGGCATGGCTGGTGCGTCCACCCGCGGTGACCTTTTGTGCCCAGGCGGCATGACGGATGCCCAACCATCGCGCCAGGCACGCGGGCACCGTAGCGATCGTGGTTTGTTTGGGGCAAGTGCTGTTGCCGTTAGCGAGTATCACCTCTGACTGCCGGCTGGCACGGTACATGCACGAGGGTTGGGTGGTCAGCACCACGCCCGACCGCCTTTGTCTCCCCAGTGGCGACGTTAATACACACCGCACCAGGTACTCGTGTGCACCGGGGTACTGAGGTTAGGCCGAGTAGACCTAAGGAGGAACGATTCTGATGGTCGCTCGCCACTGATGTTAGCCGTGGCCGGGAATCGATCTCAGGTGGCCAAGATCATAGTGCAGTGCATGAACCACCCTCTCCACAACTCGCCACACGTACAAAGACAAAGATCCCCTTCCCCGTGTAGCCTACATAAGGGCGATTGGGGCAAGTGTAGACCTACACGGCATTTATAACGGAGCAAGTCCTCAGATCGCTAAATTCACAATCATCAGGAACGTTGCCCGAAAATAAAAGTTGTAGTGATAAATCACTGTGTAACACATTTTTATTTATTTTTGTTCCTGGGTAGTAAGTGTTATTTCCTAATTGCTTATGCCTCAAAAGTACAGAAAATGGCGATTATTCCCACAAACTTTGCTTTTGTGACCAGGACAGTGATATTTAGAAATTTACCTATTTTCCAGAACATTCCAGATAGATTCAGTGCTGAGTAAACTTGGAGTAACTGGCTCACTCGGTGCACCTCAAAGAGGATTACAACAGCATCAAGACCTTGCGGGACGCCTTGAAGTATGATGAGTACGGCTGCGAGGTCATCGGATATATCAAAAAGATGGCATTCCTGATGGGTCTCCAAGGCGATTTTACCAAGTTTCCCTGCTATTATTGCCTATGAGACACCAGGGACACCAAGGCGCACTACCACAGGCGGGACTGGCCATAAGACTTCTTCCCTAAGCTGTCTGAGGCAAAGGTCAAAGCCGGTGTGTCCGTCGGACCACAGATAAAGAAGATCCTGGAGTGCAATTAATTCCCCAATAAGCTCACTAGTAAGGAGAGAGTGAGGATGTCCCTCAAAGTCCATATCCTTGATGCTCATCTTGATAAATTCAAGGAGAACATGGGAGCATACTCGGAGGAGCAAGGCAGGATGTACTGGACTTTGAACGCCGCTACCAAGGACAGGATAACAAGAACATGATGGGAGACTACATTTGGGGGCTGATTCGTGAAAGTGATTTACAGTATAATCGTGAATCACGAAAAACGACTCACTTCTAAATCTTTTGTAGTCATGTTTGTATTACTTTAGTATAAATACATGTGAATTTTTATTCATGTTGTTTTTTTTCTGACTTTATGAACGAAAAGACACAAAGTCGCCTATTTTCTCATTGAAAATTGGTAACTTTCAAAATATCACTGTCCTGGTCACAAAAGCAAAGTTTATGGGGAATAATAGCCATTTTCTATACTTTTTAGGCATAAGCAATTACGAAATAACACTTACTACCCAGGACCAAAAATTGTGTTACATAGTGATATATATAACAGGTGGTGTTTTGGGCACCTTGAGGGAGACAAGTTTATTCCATTCCCTCAACTTAGCACGGTTGGCTACGTACGGTACGAAAGAAGTTCTACATACATACGAGTCGACCGCAGGTCAAGCGTGGTGGGGTCAAGTGTGCCGCTACTCCCGCCTCTTGCGAGCCATCGTCTGCGCCAGCGTGGACAAGATGTTGAGCGGTGCGTCTCGCTTCCGTTTACAGCCACGTTGCAGAGCGTGGAACAACGTTCGCTTGGCCGGCGAGTTCACGGAGACCTCGGAGCCCATGCGCGCGGCTGAGCCAAACAATCGGCTCACCGCCCTCCGTGGCGAGGGGACCCGTTGCGTGCCACCGTAGCCACGAAGGCAGCGCCGACTGCGGCTTCGGTTTGCGACTAGGCAAAGCTTGGGACCCCCCCCCCCCAACCATGGGCAGGGGGTCGGGGAACCGCTCCCAAGCGCATCGAGCGAGCGCCACCTCTTACAGCCCCGGCGTGGATCCCGCGACACGCAGGCTCGTTACCTGTGGCAGAAGAGCTTTGTAGCACATCGGATTCCTCCCGCGTCAAATAGAGATTCCGAGGATGTTCAACCCGCCGCGGCTGATGTATCCACTCCCGCAGTATCCGAGTGGTGGGGCAAGCTCATCGTGCGGCGTCGCTGGGCGCCGTTCTCATGGCCCAAGGCGATCCTCGCGGAGGAAGGCGCGACACCTTCCGCACGGTCAGCGGTGGCATCGCAGGAGGGGGCGATGGCTCGGTGCAAATCGCCGTCGGGTAATGTGTGCGGGTAAATGCCAGCATTGGTTGGAGACCCACGCGGAACAGGGGGAGAACATACCAACATCATACCAGCGTACCAACAACATACAACATACCAACATCATACCAACTCCGCACAGAGACACGGCGAGTAAAACCCCATTGTGTGTTTGTTGTTGTTGTTGTTGTGCTCCCTGTCGCCAAATCACCTGGGGGTGTTCAGGGGTGACGAATCAAAAAATGTCAAAAGTCTAAATTGTTCACGTTAGGCCCCCAAATGACTGCAATGTTTTGGGTGCCTTTGCCAGAGTGTGACGCTGACGCCAGTATAAAGCGGACGAGGTGCCCCCGAGATCAAGGCCGTCTCTCGTTTACTCATTTATTGTCCTCAACAGAGCGACTTTATTTGGCTGCAGAACGATACCGATGGCAGGGGAGAGGTGGGGACACGGCGGCAAGCACACTGCGCCATGAACCCGGTCACCTGAGTTAAATTATCAGCCTCAATTAGCATCGGTGATATCAGACCGGGTCTTGGGCTTCACGTCTTTCCTTTACCAACGCTGACCACCACCAAGTGTGGCATTGGCGAGGCCTTCATCCTTGATTGGATTGAGGAAGAGCTGAGTTTATTTAGTAATGTTATAAGTGTATGTGTGCACGCGTGTTGAACTTCGTTCGCACCGTACGTAGCCAACCGTGCCAATAGGATGCGCGGGGGAAGGACACCAGCATAACTATGATTACCTTCAACAATAATGAGATGACGTCTCGTGCACTGTGGCTACGGCTACTGGTCACGTGGCACTTCCCGGTCTACCAGCGACTTGTCAAGTGCCCGGTGAGGAATTGGGCCCCTGGATACGG